ACAGATGGGGGTTGCAATTTTTACCTTCGGCCCCTCCGGAAACCTCGAGGTAAGACCAGTTCCATGAACCTTCACAGACATATGAATAGGAGGAAAATGACCAAATAGGACCAGGCACCGACCTACACAGGAACCCAGCCCGCAGTTTACCGCGATCTGCTCAGCGTCATCGTTGACAGTAATTGAGGTCAATGGAGGAACGAAGTTGACGCCCTGGAGACCAACACGGAAGGTTTTAAGAAAAGCGAACTAGTTCTGACTGCTAAATTTATCGCGTACTTACCGAGATTATCACCCCATTTCCCGGAACTGAAAGTGTATGTGGATAGCTCTTTGTTCGAGAATCAGTCGCTGATTCTGACGACTGATATCTTGCTCAAGGTTGGCAGAGCTAAAGTTACCTACCTGATCGATGAGCACGCCAAATTGACGCATGCCCGTGGCGGTGTTGCCCTATTTGATTCCGCGCGCGTATGAGCCTGAATGCAAAGGGAACGGGAAATACTATCCACGCACCGCGTACGTTATGTTGCTGATCGTGCTATTCGTCGCGGTGGCATCCGTCTTGATTCTGAGAGCCTGATCACTTTTTTCCGGAGGACATTGTTCATCAGACCCAGCCCTGGAGGCCATGGAGTTATGAACTTCCGTTACTCACTTGTCGATGATGGTGTTTCCCGAAATCACGATGTCAGAGACGGTGACATTGGAGGCAATGGATCCCTTGAATTAAATCAGAGCAGGTACTGCGATGGTGGCGCCGAGGACGAACAACTGAAATTCCGTGGCCGTTGATGCATGTATTGTTGGTGAAGACGATGTTGGATCCCTTATTAATTGCAAGGCAGTCGTCCTAATTAATGAACGCAGTCATCAACAAGGATGATGAGACGACGAGCCTGGGCAGTACTCGCCTGATTGTGGACGTAGCTAGGAGAAACGGAGCAAAAGGAATCAGCCGCAGTGGGTCTCGAAGTGATGGACGGCGGACCCACCTGTTTTCAATGACTAAATTTGTCGTACCGCAGTCAAAGCCGTCAGTGTTGTGTCCTGCAAAAAAACCGCACCAGCCGGGAGGCCATTGCTTTGGTTGTTGGGCACATCGCCTTGAGCTATGACAGGCGTCTATTTAGCGCTTCAGAAGAGTGACATCCCGTACGACGCACAGTTGTCGACAGTGAGGTTGGTCATTAACAATGGCGCAGGATTGGACACGGAATAAACGCGTGCGGGCGAATTGACAACGGTGACATTCTACCAGGGCATCAGAGAGAGCGGGCACTCGCGGAGACGTCGGACATACTGCATATGTACCAGAAATCTTGATCCTGGAGGAAACAGTCAGTCTTGGAAGAAATGGGTAATTTCCACCTACTTCATCATCGGAGATGGCTTTTGTATTCCGCCATTCTGCCCTAGGCCATCCTGTTGGACAGTAGTCAGAGTATTCAAAGTGGTCAAGAGCCCATTGGAATGATACCCAGTAGAACGGACCTCCGCCGTCAAACAAGTACCCGTTTCCGTTGACTGGCGGATGAATTTTTGAAAAAGCTCACGTAGTGGAGAGAGGGCTGTTCAGTTACTCACAGACAACCGAGTTTCCACTGACAATTTAATTCATTAGCAAGGGGGCAAGGAGAGCCGCGGCACAATACCTAACAATGAAAAGCGGGCCGACCCAACTCAAGTTTCCAAAGTAAATGTCTCCGTCTAAGCGAGAAAATGAGTAATTGGATGGACGATATGAGGGCCGAAGAAGTCGACATACACATAGTGACTGTCGTTCCGGTTAGGAGATCCAGAGTCAGAGCTTGTCCTCCGGGAACGGTGAAGCTGTTGAGGTTCACTGTTGTGCACTGGACGGCTGTAGCAACGTCTAGACGTCAATAGACAATGAGGATTGGAAAAAGGACCAAGGTATTGCTATTGCTTACCGTCAAGTGAGCTGATGGTGCCTACACAGTCACTGGCAGTGGTGGAGACAAGTCTTGCGACGCTAATGGTCGTTATAACACCAAATGAAAACCGCATTTTTGAGACAATAAATCCAATGAGTAGTACGAGAGGGATCAACCGAGAAGTTTATAAGGATTTTCAGTTATTCATAACAAGAGGCTCGGGCCTGAACGACCGCTCTCCAGCTGCGGCATGAGAGAAATGCCTGGGTGTTCCTCGGTCCAGCGGAGGCCCGGAAGGCGATGTATCTTCTCCTGATTTGATTGAGGCGTTATATTTGGTCGTCGTTTTCGTCACTGTGCCTTGATACTGAAGACTCTGGCGTCGCTAATCCTCTCCATGGTCAACTTTAGGGTCCCATGTATTGCCAGTATCCACAGGTGCGCCGAGCGGCTACTGACAGAGAGTATCATTCGTTTCCAGGTTCTGCACCCGAGTAGATACAAAGCGAAGCGGCAGGCAGTGCGTCTGAGCACTAGAATTTGCGGCTGAGAAGTTGACATCTTTTGGAGTCCAGTGTGGGATGCGCAGCGCAATGCAACAAAGTTGCATATAAAGTAAAGATGAGATCCAGGGACTGCGAATGAAGCAAAGTTCCCTATTTGCAAGACTTGCTGAAAGACGGTTCAAGTTCAAGTTGGAAGACAGGCAGAGGTGGCATGTGTGTCATGGAAAAAGGATGTATTTCCGTTGCGCGGATCAACGACGTTTGAACGTAACAAGCACACATAAGAGAGACATAAAGCTGCCGCCTCTGCTGTTATCTCACTCCAAACAATGGTGGCAATAACGAGGTTAGGATTAGGCAGAGCCTAGAGTACGAATAATAGAGGATAAAATAGTGGGCGCAGCCCGGATGTGTGGTGGTCGTTGTCCAAGACAGTAACCAACCAAGAGTGACTCACCGTACGATAATCACCGCATCCATCTCCGCTTCAGCATCCGCTGAATCCTCAGCACCAAAGGGAGACACGGCGACCACGGCACAGCAAGTGGAGAAGCGGAGCTTCAAAACGAAGTGGCGTAGCCACAGAGGATGGACGAGTGAGGCTGCAGAGGCCTCCGAAATTGCTCCTTACCCTTGGAACCCGCAGTTACGCCGACCCAACTTCGCCTTCGGGCTCCGTAATTAGCTAACTGTGCTGGCTCCTTCTTCACGGGGCCGACCGTCAAGCATTGGAGCAATTTAATTGAGCTCGCCAACCTTTTTAGTCGCCCATCCTGTTGAGAGTAAGTATTTTGGACTGCACTTATTCTACATTGAAGCGGACGGCTGCACCCGCTCCAGAGGATCGCGCCAGACTCATTGTCCAATCGGTATTATCCCTTTTCTCCGCAGTAGTAATGCTCTGATTTCTCCACAAACCTTGTTACATAGCGGCTCGCCTGCAAAACGCATCCTCCAGATTTCCAGGGTGCTTCGCAGAACAAACTTCTCGCCGGCGCGGAAAGTCATGATAACAAGGCTCAGCCATTTAAAATTTCAGTGTGCTATATCTATTTAGGTGAAGCGCTTAGCAAACAAGCCGGCGCTTAAACGAATGTATTCAATCTCCGGCAAACGCCATTCCGCCGAAGAACCGCGGACAATGATTCGATGGCTCCGGATCCTATCGTCTACTTGAGTAGAGCTTGATGAAAAGGATGTTAATCGCGTTGCGTCTAATAGTCTCCCAACATCTATTCTATTCAAGAGTTATAGTACTTAATTTAACCTTTAAGTAATATTAAGTATGCTTCATATTGCATGCTCCGTCTATTCGACCCACGTTAGAAGACGGGCGAAAATAATGTTTCAAGTTCACTTTATGCTGCTGTGTACGGGTCTTCGTTGTCTTCGAGAGAATGTGGCGCATTCTGCAAATTACCCAAGTTGGTTCCTGTTCGGTCCTGAAAGGGTCACGCACCCGCATTGCGTTATCCGTGACCACTATCCCGCTTTCCGCAAACCACCATCGATCATCGATATCACTTAGCATCTGTTTTCGTCTCCCGTTTTCTTCGCAAATCGTTGGACCATGTCCCTCCGATAAATCGGAAGCCAGAGCAACAGCAACTTTCATTTACTTCAGCTCACCAAGATTTTCCATTGTACTCAAAAGATTACGGAAATGAGGCGTTGACGGCATTACTCTAGGTGTGCCCTTTTTCGTCAAGTTCTACGTGGCTTCGAGCTTTCCATCCAATACTGCTTGAGCGCGTGGTGTGGATATGTAATGTAAAGGGAAGGAAAGTGGTGGTGCTGGGTACAGTCGTTGCAGCGCTCCTCTGTTTCTCTTACATATCCAACGGCAGGGTTTCACTGCAAACTGCAGTCGAAAGACACAAATTTTCAGCCCACTTCACACCCAGCGCGAGGCAGCCAAGCCCACTGGTGTACTTACCGGCGTTGCACCGCCTTCGGTGCATCGCGTATCAAAGTCGTTCGACAGCCTTTTTAGGAACCTAAATGAATTAGGGTTCGTTCTAAAATTGCGGACGGCGAGGGTTGTCCTTCACCCACTCCTCCTCTTCCCACATCGCTCACGACCTTCTAACGACTGCACGATGCGTGGGGAAGTATGTGTTGGGGTCGCGTCGATCCTCTCGTACGTTGCGGTTGCTCGTTCAAGAAATTTGTATTGACTACGCTTTAGGTTCGCGTCGATGGTCATGCTCATCTTCGTGCATGTTCGTAGGTTCTTGAAGTCGGTTGTACATGTTCTAAGGGATTCTTTGGAGGCAGATAGGGCAGATAAACACGTCCACGGTCCCGCGAAGGCTCTCTATGGTGCGCCGAATCCATTGCTGCCGATCTTCCGCTTCTGAACATTCAACATGAACGCTCTTAGGCCAAAGTTAACGCGTCCGGTTATGGGTACGCACGCATCCTTATCCTCGACCCCCAACACTCATAACCAACCGACCTGTCTTTCTTCCAACCACACAGCGACAGCCTCGCAGTGTTCATTCGCCCCGACAACGTAACCGGCCTTTACACCCTGAACGCCTCTGCGCCACTGCAAGCAGGCGCCGGCCTACGTCAGCACTATGAATTCGGGCTGTATTCCTACTGCGCCTTCGTCGACGCGGACGAGCGGGCAGGCATTTGCAGCAACCAGACGGTCGGGACGCAGTTCCGGCCGTATGATGCCCTGACAGGCGACATGGCGCTGAATTACTCGATCCTGACCAACAACTTCCTTCCGGCGCTGACGTTCAGTGATGGGAAGTACACGGGGTCGTTGACCAAGGCGGCATATTGGATGTTATTGTTGGGCACGATATGTGCGGCGTTGGCGTTGCTTACGTGCGTTTTCTTCTTTTCTTTCGCCCTTCCACTCTCGGCGTTCGCTTGTGTTTCTGTTCGTTGTATTGCATTTTTTTATCACCTTCCAAACTGACCCCACCTTTCTGATTGCAGAGGCATCGCGAAGAACAACCTGACATTCTTCGTGTCCGCCATATTCTCCGTAGTTGGGAGCATCCTGCTTCTCATCGGCGCCAGTATATGGACAGTCGTAATCAACAAATCAGCCTCGATAAATGATCTACTAATCTTTATACGACAAACGGGAACACAATCCCCTGTCGGCATCTCAGTTTCAATGGGCACCGCTATGTATCTAACATGGGCAGCATTTGCTTGCCTGTTCGCCTCTGTATTCCCGTATTTGATTAGGTGGGTGCATTGTCAATCACGTCTTGACTTTGAAAGTTGACACCAGGGCGCTTTCTGTTCTTTCGTTCCACAGTTGTTGCACATATCGAGGCTAGGGTTGTCAAACGCTTCCTTCTCAAGGATAAGACCACGACCACAGGAAGCGCGACAGGCTATTATTACCCATCCAGTCTCTATTCCTATTCTATATAACGATAAAGGACTCTCAAGGACTTACGACAAGGAATGGACGGTGAATTTTGCCTCCTGGGGATGCAATCCTGCATGTATAGAAGCACTTGTATCTAATCTTCGACTTCGGCAACCGGATTTGATTTTACCCTGTTCTCTGGAATTGAGGGTGGGATTCATTTACCCCAAGTTTACCCCAATGACGCTTGAAGCATTTTCTGTAGGGCCGCTTTCACGTTGCAAAGGAAGGACTTCTATGCGGTTTCCTTGAGGTATTTTTAGGAACAAACAGGAACTCGCAGTGCTACGTCTACGCACCTACTTACGAGTGTTCCGACTCCCAATCCACTATCGATAACCGGACTTCCAAGCGGGCTGAATAAATCGGGAAAGACCATAAGCTTCTTTACGACTTCCTTATCGCCCAGAATAGCCGAAGAAGACATATTTTGTCGCGTAAACGGCGGTAAGATATGATTCATTTCCTCCAGTTTGCCAACTCCTGCCGTACATGAAGCTTTGAAGCTGCTGGTAGCATGGAAATCAATGAAACGTTGAAGCCTCCGAGATATTGATGATCACGTGACACTCTGTAGTCGGAACTAAAACTTTGCCTTCATTACTTCGACTTGAACTTGACCCAGTCCGCCTCCCGCTCCCTTCTCTTCTGCCTCTCATCTCCCATCTCCCCTCACAGTGCCCGCCCATATACCTCTAGAAGGGCACAGCTGCGACTCTCCCAATCTCTTAATGCAGGCACACTCGACTAGACTATCATGACCAGTACAGCAAGCACCTCATCGGCGGCAGGCTCTCCGCCAGCACCAGCAACAGCAGCGATAGAGTTACCAATACCGAGAAAGACGGTGTTTTTTGTCAGTCCCGAGGTTGCATCGTATTTTGTTGGTTAGTGGGTTCGTGCATTGTTGCTCTCGGAACGGACTTCTGATGTATTGCGCATTCGTAGCGGGAGGGTGCGCCGGTGCTGCTTCGAGGACGGTCGTTAGCCCACTAGAGAGGCTGAAGATTATTCAGTGAGCCTATCCGACTCTTGGTCAATAGAACCCCTGTAACTTATATGTTTGCCATAGGCAAGTACAGCCGCGGGGGGTTGAATCTCAATACACGGGCGTTTGGAGCAGTCTAGTTAGAATGTGGAGGGAAGAAGGGTTCAGGGGATTCATGCGAGGAAATGGCATTAATTGTTTACGAATCGTTCCGTACAGGTGAGTCTCTCCCCTGGTGTTGCGGCGTATCTCCCGTCAAGTCCGACTTCACCCTTACCTGTGTGCTTGATATGCTCAATGTTTTCGACTCGTCTAGTGCTGTCCAGTTCACGACCTACGAACAACTGAAGAAGGTGCGCGTCCCTGCATTCCCATCCTCCCAAGGTTGACGTCATTTACCCTTCCTACAGTGGTTTACGCGACATGGGTCAAGAGAACTCGATACCCCAAAGCGACTGGCGAGCGGGGCGCTCGCAGGGATAACCTCAGTCTGTACGTCCATTTCCGGTCGTCTTTCCTTGCCAGGCGGATGTGTGCTCATAATGTCGTGATCTCCACGCTGCTTCTCACAGGCTCGACATACCCTTTGGACCTTGTGCGATCACGGCTATCCATTGCGACCGCCTCTATTCAGCTCACCAACCCCGCCGTCCAAGCTGCCTCCAAGCAAGCTGCTGCGACAATGCCATTGACACAAACGGCAAAGCATGCTATGGCATCCGCATACCACACTGCATCGGCGACAGCTAGCAGTGCATACAGCAAGGCGGACCTCACGATATGGGGCATGACTCTGAAGATCGTGCGCGAGGAAGGCGGAATCAAGGCGCTGTACAGGGGCCTTGTGACCACGGCGGTCGGGGTGGCGCCTTACGTTGGGATCAACTTTGCAGCGTACGAGTTCTTGAGGGGAATCATTACCCCGCCAGGCAAAAGCAGCGTGCCAAGGAAGCTGGCCTGTGGTGCTCTCGCAGGTAAGCAATTTTCTTCTTTACTGCTAAAAGTCACACACACCCTGCATGAGCGTGCCGCTAATCGAGGGTCCTTATCTCCGCGTAGGCTCGATCTCCCAGACGCTGACTTACCCCTTCGACGTACTGCGGCGGAAGATGCAAGTGACCGGCATGCGGGACGGACAGATTAAATACAACGGTGCGATTGATGCGATGAAGAGCATCATCCGCGTTGAAGGCGTTGCAGGGATGTATCGCGGCTTGTGGCCGAACTTGCGTAAGTCGTTAAACCAAGTACCTGTCTTACTGCCTTTCGTTAATCACGACGCCTTTGTTCGGTGCGCTACAGTCAAAGTCGCTCCCAGCATAGCGACGTCGTTCTTCACGTATGAGCTTGTCAAGGAGTTCTTGGTCCCAAAGTAGCTGCCGTCATTGTCGTCATCGTCCTCGTGTCGCTCTTGCATCGCACCATCATACTTATATATTCACCCATGCAAAGGACTTGGACATCTTGGCTCGTCGCATCCTTGGATTCGGATATAGAAGATACACTTTATATGCGCCTATCCAGTCTTTTATATTGCTCATGTAGGAGGGAGAAGATTGGGTCATCTACTTGTACATTTCAGCGTAGTCGATGTTGTTTCTGATTACTTATGAGAATAGACCTGCGGAAAGTGGGTGGCTGTAATAATTTATGTACGTTGTGCAGTACCGCTGAAGTCTTCGAAAAGGAGGTATTTCGTCCCAACAGCAGTCATCCAGGGAGTTTTCCGCTTGTTACATGATACAATACAGAGTAATAGAAATAAAGTACAAGTAATATTGGTGCGCATGTCTAGATCGTCCTGCATCACCTTGAAAGACTAAGTATGAAGTTACATGGTAATTATCCAAGGGTCCCAGAGACAAGGTAGCAAAAAGGAAGGAGAGTGTGCATAGGACAAGACATCGACGAATCGTGAATCGGGCATACTAAATTAGATACCAGAAAGAAGTTGTTTTGGTGCTGGAAGCAACCTATCTGTGGGGATAGCATGAGGATACTCTCCATGCATCTACCTTCCAGGTGACCGATCCCTGTACTCCGGGGGAGAGGCAATCGTGGGCGGTCTCCTCAGCGGTGTCAGCGCAGGCGGGGACAGGGCCCTCCTTTGTTCTTCCTGTCCACGAACGTAGATGTCCGCAGACTCCTCACTGACATTGGGGAGCGCAGGCTGTCCGGCACCAGGAGGGAGGCCACCCAGCTCCATATTGCTTCTGGTTTGGCCTATCGGCTGCGGCGACCTTGGTTGAAGAACTTGAGGAACGCCAGAAGATGCTGCACGGCGTAGGCCAGGCCCTTGCGGAGGCGCCATTAGCTGTGGTGTTGCTTGGGCGAGGTCGGGGCGGTATTTCCCATCAGCGGTAAATGGGATGGTTATTACTTGCGTCTGAAAGTGTCGTCGTTGAGACCGGAGAAACCAAAATATACAAGAAAGACGCATACATTTGGACCTAATGCCGACGCATCCACCGAGCCCATAATTGTATACATGTCCGCTGATTGTGGCAAACCCGATGTCGGTGGACTGCTGAACGTCGTCGCCGGCGCAGGCTCCGCTAGCGTACCAGCGGTGGCCCACGTAGCAGAATTCGCGCTGCCCAGGGACCCGAACGACGGCTGTGTATGCAGCAACGGCTGGTGCGTTCCCGAATCGACGTAGCCCAAGGGGCGATAGTTGAGCGCTTCGGTCATCAAGCTGCGCGATCCACGGCGAGAGCCGGTGCGTCCTCGGAGGCAGAAAATGTAGGTGGTGCCAAATCTTGTCTTGCGAAGACATAGGATCCCAAGGATAAGAAGCAGAAGCAGACCGAAGATAGTTCCAATGGTGATGCCCACGATGGCACCCGTGGATAGCCCAGATGACCCTCTGGAACACAAGAGGAGCATCAGTATCAACGCCACAGTGTACACACACAAGTACTCCAAGCCACTCACCCATCCAAAGCAGCTGTCGTAAACACCTCGGCGAAGTCGATACCAAGCGTCTGCGCGGAGTTGTTCCACGCTTCAGATCTCACCACTAGGGAGTGTTCGCCCCTGCCCAAATTGGCGGCGTAGTATAGCAATGTCTGTGGGCGAGCCGATGGTTTGTTCGTGGAAAAATTGGCAGGAGCACTACTATCAAGCTGCACAGAATAAGGTGCACCGCTTGGACCGACGGGCCCATATAACCTCACAGCGTCGCCTATAATAGTCGGTGGCCGTTAGATAATGCCTATAAGAATAGAAGTGGCGGGGTCTTGCCCTGCAATTGTTGTTAGCGGATCAGCGTGATAGGCAAAGATGGTCGGTGCACTCACTTTGAAGGTGAATTCAACGGAGGCACCAGCGGTTGAAGTGACACTGCCGATAAATGAGGAGGGGTACTTGGACAAGTTGAAGAGGTACTTACTGTCCTGAACCCCCCGAGAAAGTACCAATGTTGAGAGGACCCGCGTTCCATGCTGCCACCGGGTTGTAGTCAAACGATGAATCTGAGTCTTGGTACGTCGATGAGATTAGAGCCTCGTTTGCGTTGTCGCCGCCTACAGGCGTCTGCCATGTAATCTGCGAGATAGAGCAGTCAGTTACTCTTCGAGAACGCAAAATCCAATCACGTACGAAATCAATATCCAGAAGCTCCGTCCCCAGATTCTGCATCGTCACGTTATGGTTGCCGTTAGCCAGCGCTACAGTGTTGAACAGCGGTGTTTGGAAGGTGCCCTTCTCATCCAGCCCATTGACCTGGGGGTACGTAATGGTGTCGATGCTGATCTGGTAGAATGAATGGTTTTGTCGTTTGGCACCGAGCAGCTGTACGCCTGTGCCGTAGAACGAGAACGAGACGGTTGCATGCAGAACATTTGTCACCATGTAACTTCCTCGCGAGTACCTAATGACATTTTGAGTTCGTTTGTCGTGCGATGGAGCATGAGAGGAAACTTACAAGTCGAGTGATGGGTCATCTCTTGACGTTCCAGCTCTCCAATCGGATCCCCCTTGGCCAGAATAGACGATAATGGGCGAGGTATCCTCGATGGTGGTTGTAAGCATAGGCATGGTGGGCAAAAGTGAGAAAGGGAACACGATCTCGAGCCAGCGCTCTTCAATGTTCCTAGTTTCAGTCAGGGCTGCACTCCGCCCACATCAGGGAGGGGTTGTGTCAACTTGTGTGCATCCGTGCGGAGTATACGGAGGGAAATAAATGCACATCCCAAATGGGCTGTACAAAACATCGATGTGTGCATTGGCTCCGGAGCCGTGACCACAACAGAGGCCCAGGACAGCCGCACAGGTGGACAGCTCCAAGAATATACGGCTTTTGAGAGGCACAGGAGGCTTGTATGCCACTTGTTGGCGCCTGTTGGTGGTCGATCATGGCGGCCGTGGAGAATCGCGGTAGGGTTCATGAGAGCTTCCAGGAGCTTCCTCACTGAATGCGGTCATTTCGTGGCATTAACATGCCGAGATTGTAAGAGAAGTCGTCATCAGGCGTTCATTAGAGTTTCACGACCCCATATGTCGAAGTGGGGGCACACAGCCTTGAGTGGGATTCAACGGCCATCATGGATGCTTACCATGAACTTAGCACTGCACTTCAAGCACACCGTCGTCGCGTCCGAGTACGATCTTGGAGATTTCTGGACACCTGTAGCCTGCAGACAACGACAACGGACGTTTCAATGGTAGGATTGTGGTACAGTAAACGTAGCCATCAAGGGTGCGTTGACATGATCGTTTGATGGCCTTTCATGATTATGTAATTGATAAGATAAAGCACTTTTCGGAAGCGAAATGCAGGGGCCTCTTTAGCGCCGAAGAATTGAAGGCAAACTCATTTAACTCACTAAATTCCTGTTCTAACACTGTTCAACGAAACAAGTGTTGGTATCCACATATAATTTTACCAGGGATATGCGTAGCTCTTCATTTACTGAACACAGTAATTCTACAGAGTGACAAAGGGGAAACATCGGTCAGACACTTCAAGTTGCACAAAAAAACAAGAGATCACAGACCCGCTACACCGCCAGAATCCTTGCTAGATTCGACCAATTCCAGGTCCCTAAATGGAAATATTTGGTCGATAATGCGAAAGTGACGCAGAGATCCATCATGTCCACCGCCTAGCACCAGAACCACTACCGCAATTGACGGCGACTTTCTGGGCTCCGCTATTGACACAGATGAGGCGGTGGGAGTGTCGAAGTTGATGCTCTATTGAAGATCAACAGATATATAAGTATTTCTTGCCTTAAGGCTGCAGTATACTCCCACCATAGTATTGGCATCGCTTCCTGGTGTCCCCAAGGTGGAAGGATAGATCTGAAGTGATGCATCAGTCACGGAATTCACTCTTCGGGGAATACACTGAAGAGTGCCTCACCTGATCAATAATTACACCCTATTTCCGAATTCCGGATGCAGTGTTCCCAAAATTAATTCAACTGTTAGAACGCCTGCAATGAACGCACACATAGCAGGCAACGCTATATGCTATGCTTCCAGAGAGACATTTGTTTTGATTCGCAGAGCTTGATTATTACACAGATCCGCCTGGATCGTCAAAAAGATAGGACCCAAAAAAATAGGCATACCTGTGTCCCCTGAGATATTAATTCCACTGATAGTCATGTCCAGCAATGGACGAGTTGGTGAAATTAAATCATCAGAGTAAAGACAACGCGAACAATAGAGCTTCCATGACCACCTGTGCATGTATTCCCCGTGAACACGATACCGCTGCCTTTATAACCAAGACGGTGTCCTTGAAGGCGCTTCAGCTCGAGATTTATTCGAGTGCATCTGGCATAGAACTTGATTGTAGAATTCGGTGTTAGAGAACGTCAATTGGAAAGAACGTTCCGGTGTCGTCGGACAGGCAGCAAGGTCGTGAGAGGTTTCGACGTGAGCCCAGATGCCAAGTTGCAGCAAGTTTAGCTTCCAGAATGATGTCCTTGGGCGAACCGTAAGCAAGACGAAAATGGTTCTCTCATCGGACTTTCAAGACCTGCGTGAGAGCAAAGGATCCTGGCTGAAGATAATGGCATCCCGAACAAGCAACGATGTCGGTCCCACCAACATCTATGGAGCCAGGGAATTCCCGAAAAGCTTCTTCTCACGCCTCAATACCCTCCTATATCAAAATCTAATGGTATCATGCGTGTATAGTGTGTACAGTAGACAGCGTAACTAATGATCCTCGCTCACCTAAAGCAGGGTATTTTTTTTGTGATTTCAAGTGCTGGTGCGTCTAGGAAATGAAACTTGAGAGAAGAAATCTAAAAATGTTCGTACATAGATGGAAGGCTCAAAGCGCATCGGGCGACAAATCCCCAAGTGTATTCATCTCCCAGTCGTTAAAGTTGCTCGCCATGCTGAAAGCACTTGCGGACTTCGCATCGTCGCCAAACTCGGAACGAGAGTCGATCGTGTCCTGCAAGCAATACCAAATCAGCCGCCGCTCTCTATCAAAAGACGAAGTAAACGTACATCAAAGTAGTGCCGTAGGACGGAACGAGGGGCTGAAAAGAGTTAAGGCAAGAATTCGCAAGTGACTACGGGATATCAGGGCTTACTTCTCGGTGTCTTGGGGAGTCGACAGCTCACACCACTTTGGAGGATGTGGTACGCGACCAAACCGGACCAACCAGTCTGATGCGATGCCCCCAACCCTTTACCAGTGTCGGCGTGGAAGAACTATAATGTGCTTAGTCAATGCTCTCGAGTGTAAAAGCTTCGGAATAGGACTTACCTCGTAGAACCAAACGTAGTCGCGGAAATGAGGGTCGAAGTCTAGTTTTGCGTTCCCTCCATTTGTTGCCCGACGGCCGTCCACATCGCGTCGGAAGATATGGATAATCCTATGTTGAATCTCCTCCGCAACGCCGACAAGGTTCATGAAGTCCCCGCTTCCTGTTGGACATTCGACCTAAGAGTCATCAGAAACCAGAACATATCAATGAGCGAAAACCTCCATACCTGGAGATCGTCACCATAGTATTGATAGAAACGTTGAAGACTCTCGATAAGGAGGAAATTCGTAGCAAGCCCTAGACCGACGTTCAGCCCCTATCACTAAGAGAAGGAAAGCGCATACAAATCGGTCCTCTCCAGTTCGAATTTCCGCCGAACATCCCGGAGAGTGAGTCGCCTGGCCAGTACGGTACCTCGTAGCGGTGTCCGTGAACATCCATTCCCCAGGGGTGTTGTTGATGCAGTTTTGACAGGCTGAACGCAATAAGGAAAGGAACAGAGATAGAGGGGAAAGAACTCACGATCGGATCCCATGTTGACTCAAGAACTCCGTTTCATCTAACATTCTCTCAAGAATTTTAACCAACCTCTCCTTGCTAGCGAGGGCCAGAAGTCTTCTCTGTTCTTTGCCGCCGACTATTTCCGCATCGGAATGTCAGCTACGACCAGATTCAAATAGACCTTTAGGAACATTACCTTTCATGTTTGCCATGTTCCTCTTTGATACCTCCGGTCGATTATCAATGAACCACTCCATTCGCTTCTTGAATCCAGGGAAGCGATTCAGCACGGCAGGCTCTAGGACGAGCGTCCCGTACAACGGGATCAATCCAACGAGACTCCGGACGGGGAGCTGCATCGTATGCCCCGACCCGAAGACAATGGCATCGTAGTACATCCCATCAGATTCGTTCCAGAGCGAGCATTCGCGCTCTCCGTCCGTGTACGTCATAGCGTCGGCGATAAAGATGAAGTGCTGCCAGGCGATGTGAAAGACGTACTCGACCATAGGAAAATAGATGTACCTCAAAGAATTTCGAAGCAATATCCTCATACACAGGATTGTGCTTGGCCAATTCAAGTGCAATGCTCAACCTGTACGCGCACTTCATTAGTTATAACAAATATAAAAGGAAATTACGTACATGTTCAGACAATAGAATGCCATCCATGCAGTCCCATCAGCTTGTCGAAGCGTACCCCCAGTCGGAAGTGGTTCTGAACGATTGAATGCACCGATGTTATCGAGACCAAGGAACCCGCCTTCGAAAACGTTGTGACCTCCTTGATCCTTTCGGTTGACCCACCTGAGAATATGCGCCACAATTACTAAAATCACCCAAAGATAGCCAACGATCAACTCACCATGTGAAGTTCAGCAACAATTTCTGGAAAACCCGCTCTAAGAACGCCAAATCTTCTCTTCCGTGGATTTTCCGCTCTATCTTGAAGATACGGAAAGTCGCCCTATGAAAGAGTAGATGTATGCGTCAGCGATTGACCACGCGTCAAGACCACAACAGCTAACCATGCGTGTACGGGAGGGTTGACGTCGCTGAAGTTCCACTCGTACGCAGGGATCTGTCCATCGGGTTTCATGTACCATTCCCTGGTGAGCAAATCCAACTGCTTCTTTGCAAAGGCTGGATCGACGACGGCCAGCGGTATGCAGTGGAACGCGGTGTCCCAAGCCGCGAAGAACGGATACTCCCATCTAACAAGATAAAATGGTTAGTAAATGCGCGCTGATCATCGCAAAAGAGGGTAATAAAATTGCTTACTTGTCAGGCATCGACAGGATGTCCTCAATATGCATATGCCTCCACTCCTTGTTCCTGATCCACTTCCTATTCGGCGGAGGCGGGGGTTGGGCTGGGTCACCCTCCAACCACTCCTTTTGTATGAAGCGATAATACTGCTTCGTCCACAGCATGCCTCCAAACGCTTGTCGCATGATCTGCTTCAAATCCTCCGTCATCGGCCCGTAGACAAGTGAATTGTAAAACTCGTCGGCTTCCTGCCTTCGCTCCTCGACAGCGTCATCGAACATGACTTCGTCTTCAAGGCTGATATCCTTTCCGATCCGCGAGGGCGTGAGCTTGAGACGCACCACAGCGCAGCCGCCGTGGGCCGGTACGTCTGCGAAGGTGTAGTGCGCTCCTGCTTTGGTTCCCTTCTGGTCGGGGTTGACGAAGGAGGGCGTCAAAGGGAATGGTGTGCAAGGACCCTCCTCTGGGACATCCGGACGCTCATTGCCGAACGACGACGCGGTCCTAGAGCGGATACGAGGGGAGAAGAAACCTTCAGGTTGCGAATCGGATGAAGGAGGCCGGTGCGATGGGATAATGTGGTCGTGGAATGCGTCTTTCACGTACGGCGTTTCGTTCGTCCCGCCGTACAACCTGCTGAAGTTCGTGTTGTTCTCGGTAAATAACAGTTCGGGCTGGACTATGTCGATCTCAGGATCAACCTCGAAGTCGTCAGTCGGCCCTACTGGAGGCGGCGATGGAAGGCAGTATAAGTAGGTCTTGCCTAGACCTGGATGGCGTGCTGTTACGCAGCGGATGTTGTCCGCACCACGAATAGAACCTGAAAGGCTGGGCATTGGTGGTTTCTCTATGGGCCATGACCAAGTGTTAGGGAACCAGAGTTGTGGGATTATATGCAAGGTGGCGGGATCGGGTCCACGATTGTACGCAGTGATGCGGATATAGACATTGTCCGGTTCGTCCTCGTCTTTCGCGTACTACGATGTCCGTTTGAGCCAAAAAGCGCGCTTTAAGCAATCAAGCACGTACCTCAACGAAGACATCCCAGTATCGATCGTCATCAAACGCGTCCGTATCCAGAATTTCATACTCTCCCACATCGCGCCCTCGCCGTTGATTTTCTTCGACAAGCTGTTCGTATGGATATCGCCTTTGCGGGTACTTGTACAGAAATTTCATGTATGAGTGGGTCGGGGTTGAGTCGAGATAGTAGTAAAGCTCTTTGACGTCTTCACCATGGTTCCCCTGGTGTCCAGTCACGCCAAAAAGACGCTCCTTGAGGATGGGGTCCTCGCCATTCCACAGCGAGAGTGCAAAGCACAACCGCTGATGGTTGTCTGATATCCCCGCAATGCCGTCCTCGCCCCACCTGTACGCGCGGGATCGCGCATGCGCATGAGGGAAGTGGCTCCATGCATCGCCATCGGCGGAATAGTCCTCTCTGACAGTCGCCTGTCGCGTTGGTTAGTCAGCATCGACGCGATCTATGAAGAGAAAACCACGTACCCACTGCCGATCGCTGAGATAGGGTCCCCACCGCTTCCAGTGTTTCTCGCGATTATCGTCACACTCTAGGCGATATTTCTCTGCGCTTTTGTACTCGTGCCCAAGGGTCTGCCTGAGGCGTTCCCGATAAGGTTGCACAGGCGGCGGGGATGCAGCGGCGTCAGCATCATCAACGATGTCAGCATCTCTTCCGTGAACAACCTTGGGCGAGGAGTCCGTCGTCTTCCTGGGTGGTGGCGTAGGCGATGCCTGTGGTTTGGGTATGCTAATTTTCAACGGTGTTGTGGATTCGACGCGTTCCTGGGGGCTGGGGAACGCCTGTGGGCTGTCTGGGTCGACAGCAGCTTGCGACCCGCTGCCTTTGCCGAATATCTTCTCCTGAACTTTGCGTACAGCGCTGGACGCCATTATCCAAGAGGGCGATAGTGACGATATCGATGCGGGGTGCCCCGGATGTGGTTATAAGCAAAATGGCTCCTGAAGGATGAGAAAGGCAACAACGTAAGGGCACGCGTGGATTGATCTGACGTCATGGGCCGCGCCTCACTGCCGTCATTATTTAATTTTCGATTTCTACAGTGATTTTTGCCGTCACCGCCTGCTTCGAAATCTCGTCTCTGCCGTAAACAATACTCCTTATAATTCCAGCACCATACGAGGACTCTGAGAGGGTGAAAATAAATGAGTTTGGAAGGTATGGCATCTATGTTGTGCAACATCCAAGACCGCCGACACGGAACGTTGGCGAAGAACTGTATGCTTGACAGGCCTTGACGAATAAGCACCCACATTATACTCTCGATTATACTACACCTTACACCAGACTTACATTAGGCGAATGTCTGGAATCTTCTGCGGCGCAATGGCGGGGTTTCCAAATTCGGGATGATTGGCGCTTCTAAAAATAGCCTCATCTAAAGGCTCAGCAAGCCTCGTATAACCCCTCGGAGGGGTTCAGACGCCCGTCTGTCTTTCCACGACACACGTTGTCCCCTCTCAATCATATACACACTCATGGATGCGAAGGGTCATCCGTGCCGCGTATTCGCTACAGAGTATGCAGAGTGAAGGAATGAATAGACTCATACCAGCTATAACACATGATGTCAACTGTTCGGTATGCTACTGCTCCAGTCGAATTACTATGTAACAGCACCGATCGCGATTAAGCGTCTTTCTGTTTCATTGAGCCGACAATGCTTACATCCTCATAGCCGACTCGTTGCACATTCAATTTGCAGGTATCATGAAGCGGGGGCAGGTATATGACATCCCAGACATCCCTCCGGTTGGTATTAGCATAAACGAGCATTAAATGTTAAGGTGCTGTGAATATTTTGCCTCGATCTCGCCCGCACCTCACCTCAACTGTGGGTCCGCCGACGCAAGGAAAAACACATAAACATGATTCCTTCAATTAAAACCCCAGGAAACGGAATTAAAAACGAGGGTGAACGGTGTGTCTTCGCGAAGTTTTGATGATTTATTACTCACAATGGACGCGTAGGAGCAGTACCACCCGTTCATGGCATGGGGGACTCTATAACCCGAACAGCGATAATATGTTAGACGAGGATGCGTCGGAATGTCAGGAGCTGCTGTCGACGGATGCGAGGCGAGGATCTTGCGCTGTGCTGACTCTCGCACTCGGTTCGGTTCCTAGGCGGTGAACTGGTTAGTCAGGGGATGGTATGAAGCCAGATGTGAACTCGTTCGACGTTCGAGCGGCGCCCAGGTTTGCCTTCAGGACTCTTCGGGGATGGCAGGAACTGTGTCGTGTTTAGGGTGATTGGTTCACAGTAGAGTACATTCCTCTGCCTCATTTCTGACAGAGCTGACAGTTCTCAGATCTGTGTCTCAACTGCCAGAGATCCGCTACGGCCTGAGGCTCTATGCGACATGAGTAATTTGCGTGAAGGTGGGCCAACCCAATGGAAATAGGAAAAGTCCTTGAACATCCTCGCACATATCCGTCAGAAAAACGAGGCCGCCCTCAAGTTGAGAAACGCCCACCATTTTACGAAGCGACAGCCAGAATTTTGGCATCCGCCATTATTGTCGGCCATGTGTTGGTGATGCTCCATTTTTCGTGGGCAGGGGAATACAGGCCGCTTTTTTCAAAGTTAATGGGGACCATTATCGATTGAAAATTTAAACAGAACTCACGTATCAGAAGACATCGCAATGGCTTAAAAGTTAAGGGTACGATACAGCGGGATGAGCTGTTCGATGCCTTGCATCCAATGTCGAAGATTCCTATTCAAGTCTCCTTGGAGGACCCGCACCAGATCATGCTTTATGCAGTTCTGAGACTTCAAGCCGTCCAATGGGCCTGCAGCCTCTCTGACGGGTCCTGAGATGCTTGATGGAGCAGTGGGAAGTTGGAGTCGGCTCTCTAATTCGTCCAGAGGGTTCACTTTCCCAGTGACTCTGAGCCCACTGATCAATGGTAGACTGATGAGGAGATGGATGCAAGCATCAGATTTTCCATCCGTTGTGCCTTGGCTCGAAAGAGTGAGTACAAGGAGTGTGCCAGAAATTTCGTGATGAACCAGCGCTAGCGTTTTGATGCGTCAGATTGACTGATTTGGATGCCGGCAAAGCGGCGCGGCTACGGGTGGAGCTCGTTGTCCATTGCAACTTGCTCCTAACCATCACCACCGCCGTGGATGTCGCCCACAGCGAGGACACTCTATTCTTCCACACTCTAGGTGAGTTTCTCTTGCCCGGGATTCAGCCGCTGCTGTCATCACGACGGGTTTACTGTAGCCGACGCTGGTCGTGTGTTTCCCCGCGCCTGCTGGCACTTCTTCCCAATCACCACTGACAGCCCCGTCCTCAGAATACTGTTCATTTAATTATCGCCCTCGACCAACGTTATCGCCGTGGGGCAGGATGTCGCAGCGTCATCATGTCACCCCCAACACGAGTTCGCAGCCGAGTGGTGGCCCCTCAGCCGCGCTGCTAGGCCATGCTCCAGGGCAATCCTCGTTTCAGCCGTCTGCCACTCAATACATGCATCTATATGCCCACGATCACCCTCCATCACCTTCCTCTAACTCTACCAAGCAGCAGCAGCTGCCAGCCGTGGCTGTTGCAGCACCCCGCACTTCCTCTCTCCCCCTCGCTGTCCAGATGGGCCATAGCCAGAGCAAACCCGCGCCGCCGCTTCCTTCTCCAGTCGCGAACAACGGATCACCGACGTCGACACTGAATACAGCTTCATCGGCAGCCACCAAAGGTCTCAATGCCGCTGTAGCTGGTGGCATGAAGCTCAAACGCGCTTTTGCAGGACGGAGGAAAAAATCGGAGGATGCGTCGACCGTGTTCGTCAGGCCCAGTGAACAGGAGTTGAAGCAGCGGACAGTGGACCAGTTTCCGCGCCCGGCGGAGACTTGGACACCTCAGCGGATAGAGGTTGGGAGTTCGTCAGCGCCACAGGTGAGAGGCCTATCATATCTTTTGCTATTTACTTGCTGATCCAACACCAGTTCTTTAACAAACCACTCATTATGTCGCCTCCATCCTCCATGCCCTCTCCACCTCCACCCACGCCACCCAAGAAAGAGCTACCCGCACCTACTGCATCTACACTACCACCCCCTGATCTCTCTGTACCAGCCAGAAACTCTGTTATTCCGCTCAGCCCGGGCATTTCATCCGCAGTCAACTATATGATGCTGGAGCAGCAGCAGCAGACTGCAATTAAACAGGTTGAAGGCGATAAGCGGGAAATGAAAGAGTCCTGGCGGAAGAGCGACTCGACGAATAGTCATCACACCATCCGTCCTGGAGCTGGTGTGTCTTCGTCGAGATCATCAAGGCCGGTATCTTGGGCAGAGAGCTTCCAATCTGCTCACACGGTGGTGCAAGTTTCTGGGAACAAACGACGGAGTGCGCTTCTTGGGGATGCGGACTTCGGCATGCCAGAGGAAGACGATGATGACGACGATGCTGATAACAGCTCCTTCAACTCTTCTTCACCTCATCCTCCCCAAAACCCGGCATCGACGTCCTCGCCTTCGCTACCGTCCTCGGTACCTGCTCGAGTGATCAAGAAGCGTCGATCAGTATCCCTGGTTGGCGTTGCGAGCACCAGCAGCAGTAAAACGTCTGTTCCTGTGCCCGCACCCCCACCAAGCGCGTCTGCAGCAGAGCTCAAGTACCCTTCGTACTCGATCTCGGAGGGCGTTCCACCACCTCGATACCCAACTGCGCCTGTACCTCGCTTGCCGCCAATGATGTCGCCCTCTGTATCCCAACCTCAACCCCCCACCCAGCCGGCCACTTCCATGGCAAGCGCGACGGTTGCTAGTCTTAAGGGCAAGTTCGCAGCGTGGTCTTCAGGTGGGACTCTTTCTACGACAACTATCTCACCCCCTATTCCCGTCAACTTCACTCCGCGGCGCGACCAGACTCTTCCTTCCCTCCCTCAACACAACCTTGCGCCTACACCATCGCCCACGACACCCTCCTCTCGTCAGCCTGCGATCAGTGGTATTGGCCCTGCAGCAGCCGGCTTGGCCAAGCGGGCCGTGGAGAAAATGGGCCGCAAGTGGGGGTTGTCCTCAAGCACCTCTGGTTCAGGATCGGGTTACTCATCATCTTCATCGACGAGCAACAGCACGAGTGCGCCTTCGGCATGGTCAACCCCGCATACAGATTATGCCGTGATCAGGGACTCTGCCGGAAATCATTCGACGCCTAGTTTGGGTTCCTCGTTCGGTATCGGAGGTACGACTGGATTCATGAGCGGGTCCCCGGGGAAGGGGGTTGGCATTCATAAACGTACGCCCAATGCACCGTCAGGGTCAGGAGCGGGCAGCATCTCCTCGAGCCTAACATCGGCTTCGGAGTCGGACCCGTTCGCTCCCGTTGGACCTGTATTGGGCAAGCAGCTGCGTGGCGGACTGCGTTCGAAGAACGGGGTGCAGGTCAGTGGTGGGATCGTATTCTCAAGGGATTTGAGAAGTGTGGTTCGAGAGACGGGCATCAAGGTTGGCAAGCCGCCTAATGCTAACTCAACCCCCAAAGAGGGCTTGGTTGGAGAGCTAGAAGAGAGGATGCTACCTGCGCTAGTCGTGCGGTGTGCTCAACATCTGTTAATCTGGGGTGTGCAGGAGGAAGGATTGTTCAGGGTGAATGGACGACCGTCGCATGTCTCGAAGCTCCGCGCTGAGTTTGACTCTGGTGCCGATTTCGACATGGCGGACTGCACGCCTGGAGATCTGGATCCGCATGCGGTGTCGTCGGTTTTCAAGGCCTTCTTGAGGACACGTAAGTACTACAATTTTTTTCTGAGCTACTTATTCACCATTTTTATGATCATTAGTCCCGGAACCGATATTGACGCAGAAGCTTCAACCCTACTTTGACGCAGCTATCAACAAGGAAACTGCTCTCAACGCACCTCCACAACCTAGCAGCCCCAACCGGATGTCTCTTCGACCTATACCCGGTCTCCCTTCTGGACCCAAAGCCGGGGGTGGTATGGCTATCCGCAAGCCTCCATCGCTTTCCACGCTCGCCATGCCCTCCTTCACCGGAATCCCTCCTCCATCAAAATCGCTCGTCGCGGCCGTGCGGTCCCTGATCGCCCAGCTGCCCCAGGAAAACCGCGACCTCATCCGGACGGTGGTCGACTTGATCAGGGCAACGGCGAAGCAGAGCAAGGAGACGAAGATGCCGCTGAGCAACCTGTTGTTGGTGTTTTGCCCAAGCTTAAATATGAGCCCTCCGCTTTTGAAGGTGCTCTGTGAAGCTGAAGGCATTTGGTCGAACGAGGATTCGCCGGTCATTGACATCAGGAGGCATACGCCGAATTTAGGCGCGGGTGATAGTGCCGAGGTGCCACCACCGACCCCAACCAAGAACGGTGTGAATACCAGTACGGGCAGCGGCAAGGAAGTAGTGGATGAAACCTCGAGTGTCAGTGATACCATGAGCGGGATGGAGCTAGACGAAGAGGACAGTCTCCGCTCTGAACGCCCTTCACTCGATAATCCAAGCTCCGATTACCACGCGTCGGCAGAAGATGACGGTTCATCGATGTACGATGGAAGAGATGAAGTACAGAGGAGGATGTTGCTGGGCGAGAGACCGGAAGTGCCAACGCTATATCTGTCCACACGAAGCCATTGCTCATCGAGCTCAGCCTCGTCCTTGCTGCAAGATCTCCCTACCTCGAAGTACGACGGGGCTTTTGTGCATCATTTACGAGATACGGCAACAGACGACGGCTCGATCTCTTCTGGTCCATACTCCGTGAAGTCCATGAACAACCCGCATCCCTCTTCATCTCCGCCGCCATTGTCATCTTCAGCGGAATCGATTACAACGCCAACCTCGTCAAGTAACCCATCCCTCTCTGACTTACATCTTGACGGCAGCGAGAAGGCGCAACTCGAACCACAACATCAACATGAGAGCCCACACTCACAAGCTGCCAGTGGTGGTGCACCTCACATCGCTGAGCCGATCCCCCTCGAGCTTCGATCGCAAAGCAATAAGTCGAGACCTCTCATCAGCGCTCCGATGCCTTACATTGTACCCGTTCAGTTCCCTTCCGATGCCCCGCAGCCTGCTGTGCCCACAACGCCATCGAAGAGGCGATCGATTCCGATCCTATCACTGCCCAATTTCTCTCCACCAACCTCTGCACACGATCGCGATTCAGCATATGTCGAAGCCAGCGGCGCGGGGGTCAATATCGAGAGGACGTTGCGGGCAAAGAAGCCTTCTCTGAAGCTCTTGTTTTCCAAGCGGTCGGCTTCATCCTTGAACACTTCGGAAAGTAGAGATAGAGACAGATTGGGTAGCATGCCTTCTATCCTGCCATCGATGATGCACCCCGCCCCGAGATCGGCGAGCGATTCATCTATCTCTACGCCTATATCGGCTGTAACGGCACCGCAGTCAACATTGTCGGGGTCGAGCAGCACATCGAACCTTCCACCGGTATTAGATACCCCGATCGAGGATGGCTCCTTGAAGTTGGACCTAGGTCTTGGATTCGAAGCCAGTTCGACAACAGCCATGTCCAACGGGAAACGGGCGTCGGCTGCAAGAGGTGGCGCAGGAAACGTCAGCACCGAAGCCGTTATACCAAAACAAACAGCTGTTGCTGGTCCCTATGCACCACTGCTGCGGACCTCACTCTCTCAAGACTCCAGACGTTCGGCACCAAGTCAGCCTACTTCTATCGACTCGCGGTCGGTCCCAAAACCTGCGGAAAAGCCCATCCCCTTGCAGCCGTCTTTGTCGAGTCTGTCCCTTTCTTCGACGACGTCCCATCGGCTCAGCTTATTTGACGATGGTGGTGACGATGATTGGACGCAGAGCGTCCTAACAGCTGCGGAAATGGCCAATCAGAGGCCAAAATCGTAGGTGGACAAGATGGCCACCCGCCTTTATCCTCGCTAGTCGTGTGCCTGGTGCACAAGTACCGAGGGCAACAAAAGTCAAGATAATTTCTTGCGCGTAGCGGGTCAAGTTCTACCTAACGTTCGTTTTAATTCCTTTGCATATTTTTATCTCTCCACATGGTAGAGTTGGGATCACTTTTTGCCTGTTTCTTGCCCAGCCCCTATCAATCATGGTGCATCATCAGTACACCAATCATTCTGCGACTACCCTCTATCAGCATCGCTCATCTCTATCAGTTATGATTGCTCACTATCCATGTATCCATTACTACATATCCATTTTCTTCATGTCGCATTTCTCCTATCGGTTTGTTTTTTGGTCCAGCAATGCAAGCATTCTCCTTCTCTCCCCTTCTTTCAGTCTCGCTCATTCGTCGTACGTCATATTTGATACATACATAACATAAGTATAGCGCCTCTTTTTCAATTGTAGGTATTTAAACATTTGGCACTTTCTGTTATTTTCGACTGGCGGACAATTGGAACATCAACACTTGATTTATTCCAGCAAGAACCATTGCATTGACGGCTTCAAATGAGGCATTGCACAACCCAATATCATTACAGATAAATCCTACATACGGTAAAATAAAACAAAGGCCATCAAGCCTGACCTTCTGTCAATAGGCGGGAGGTCCAATTTCTGAGCTTGGGCGAGAAGGACTCCTTCGAATGTATTCATCTGATATCTGCGCCACACCATGCGATCTGCTATCTCGATTCGGTATGCTTTCGTCGGACGGCAGGGGAGGAAGTTGACTTGTAAACATCGCCCGAGAGCTACCTGTCCTATGCGTCGAAGGGGCCCGCTCATAGATGTCAGAATTCGTGTTCTAAATCGCTACAGTCAGGCATCAACCCCATATTTAAGGTAGATCTCAATTCTTACCGCAGAATAGGATACAGGATACCCCGACTGTCCAAAGTACCGTCGATTTGAGCCGGTGCGATAGGTGTCCGGCACTGATGTCGCAATGGTTGTGGCTGGGCCAGGAGAACTGATTTGGGTCAACGAATGTGTCAAAGCGAATGACGGATTCGTTGTATAGGACATTGTAAACGGGTACGGCTGAGTTAGGTCGCGGTTCATCAAAGCTTTCGTTCGTTGTCGCTCCCGACGGTAGAGGAGAAAGAGATAGACCAGAGCAGCCGTAGAAAGCAAGGAGATAATAGAGGTGACCGTAAGGCCCGCTATCGCGCCAGGCGCTAAGCCTCTGTTACGAGATTCAAAAGGTTGTCTGACGTGCAGGCTTTAAAGAGACAGTAGTACCTCCATTCTTCCGACGACATGGTCGTGTTCAGACCGGCTGCTCCATTCTGACTGGGTAGGTCAGAAGATTCAATGATTGGCGTTCCAAAGCTAGAAAAAGTCAGTGCACAATTCCGGGACGCTCTACAATAGCAGCCTACCTTCCACCGAGAGAGGGAGTAGTGTATACTGTGGCATAGTCGATCGCTAAAGATCCTCGCGATGACCCAAGGCTGATTTGGATCGTATGCGTCGTGGAAGAGAGGTTCGCAGCATAGAAAAGTAGCTGCTGCGGTCTGTAAAATTGCTTGACCGCGTTGAAGGGCACTGGGACACCGCCATCCAGGCTGACAGTGTATTCAGAGCTGGTTGGGCCGACAGGGCCGTAGAGCGCTACTGCGTTTCCTAGGTAGTCATCTGTGGTGTCAATGCCAGGCGAGTTTTCGATATTGATGAGCTTGCCCTGTAAAGGAGCAGGGTTGCATTTCAGTGTATATGCTCAAGGAGTCAATCGAGCAGCGCACTTGGAAACTGAAGGTGGCATTCGCAGTCGCATCTCTTGTGGCACTGAGCGAAAGAGAGAGGGTCGGCCAAGGAATTCGGATTTTATGCGATGGTAGAAGACGCACTGCCCACAACCTCCAACGAAAAAACCTGATGATTCGGGGAGAGCCCAGGACGTCTGAGGCAGATACATGAAGGAAGGGTGAGAGTCCTTGAACATGTTGATAATCAAAGGCTCGTTCTCTTCTCCGATATTGGTGGTATAGGCGACCTAGAGCCAGTCAGGTGTCGTGGACCGGAGAATTACTACAAGACCCACATAATCGATGTCAAGAAACTTGTTATCGAGGTTTGTGATGGTCGCCTCATGGAATCCGAGAGTTGTGGACGTAGTGAACAATGTTTGGTTGAATAAACCGGCAGACGAGAGGCCACTAGAAGTAGGAAAAGATTGCCCATCCACTTGAACTTGGTAATTGCCATGATTAAATCGTTTAGCCCCAACTATTGTGACAGAAGTCCCATAGAAGCCAAAGGACATCGAGGACCCAGCAATGTCGGTCATCATGAAGCTACTTTCGGTGTACCTGATAAACTTGACCATAAGTCCGAACTTCAACGGGTAGAACAGCAGGGAAGGGCGTTGACCTGTCAGCTTGATTATCACCTGACGAAGTACCAGACCTCCAATTGCCGGAGTAGAGCAGGACAGGAGATGTGTCCTCGACAATCGTAACAAACGAGGGCATGATAAACTAATTAACAGCCAAGAAGAGTGTCCAAAAGCTGGAAAATCGCCGTGGAAGGGGTGTGTGAATATACCAGGGTCGATAAAAGACACCCGGTATCTTCAAGGAAAACGCGGCAGGGAAAAAGTAGGGTATCAGAACTGGGAAACTTCGGATTTTCAATGGGGATCACCAGCTACATATATCTCTGGCGTCTTGCAGGCACGACAGTAGAACATGAGTTTCCGTGATAGAGTAACTGGCAACCAGTTTACATCGCACCTTTGATTAAATACGGACCTGTGGGGGATGAAACGCTCGCTCCTAGGCACGCGACACAGCGCAAAGATGTAGAGCCGAGTTGAGGTAGGTGCCAATCACCGTTAATATTAGGAAGTCTTCATGACGCCTGACTGAGCCGAGGATGGCCATGGTGATCGATGAGAGACCAAACCTCAGTGCGAGCAACAAGGAGCTTTTCTCATGTGCATCAGATCTTCTGTAGGCCTCAACGGATATTCGATTCGGGGCTCACGTGTATAATACTGTCGTGACCTCATTCAGTTAGGTCTACATACTTTTTGTCTCCATACACGTCTCCCATTTTCCGTTGACGTTGCCTGAACCACAAATATAAAGCGGACAAAACCGCGAAAAAAGCGACAGCAGTGCTAACTGAGAGGCCTGCAATTGCCGAGGGCGGTATTTTCCTACGGAAATATACCAATCATTTTAGATAAACACTGACGAGATTTGAAAAGATGCAGACTTACGATACGTACTGCATGGTGCCCGGAGCTGCTTGATCTTCATAGATGCTAAAAAGAGGTAAAGATTGACGACAAAGAACTGGAAGAAAGGGCCTTACTTTCGCGGTCGCCCACCCAGCGATCGTGTCGTATACAAGTTGGCAAAATCAATCGTGAAATCGCCCATCCGAGTTCTATTCGCAGGTTGCTCAAATTTGATGCGCATAACATGCTCGCCTCGACCAAGGTTTGAAGCCTGGTACAAGACTTGGTGAGGCCTCGTCTCAGCGCGAAGGGCTGAGAAAGTAGAGAACGGGCCGTTGTCCATTGAAACAGAAAATGCGGTGGTGCTATTCGCACTAACGGGACCATATGACAGGATCACATCAGCTGTCAACCACAGTCAGAACTTGAGGTGCTTCATCTGTTGATGCTAGCAAGAAATTACCCTAGAGCAGGGGTAATAGCAAATAAATTACTATTGGACTTAAACTCGTCAGGCACTCACCTTGAACTTGAATTCTGCCGTGGCCTTGGGATCATTCGTGATGCTAATACACCACTAAATTAGACAACGAAAGCGACCGCAGGAAAGATATTTACGTTCCCGTACTTGCAGACAGAGTGCCAGGACGCGCCGATTGTCTCCAAGAGGAAGGAGGGAAGTAAGAGAAGGTGAATTCATTATCTTGCCAAGTGGCAGGAATCAGCGCTTCTTCGGATTTCCCAGTGATGCCTTGGAAAGCAACCTGTGAAATCCGATGAGCTGAGCGTTCCTGAACACAAGAGAGGACCTACATAATCAACATCTAGGGTAGTGCTCCCAGAATTAATCAACTTGATGGTGTGTAGGCCATAATCCAACGAGGTTGCGTTGAAGAGTGTTTGGTTGAACAAAGGAGTATCAGAGTATGCATCGAACGTTGGAAAGAGCTTTCCATCTAGCTCGACTTGGTATAACCCATGATCAGGGCGTTTGGCGCCGTAGATACCAACATAGGTGCCGTTGAAAGCCATTGTCATTGTTTCATCCGCTTGTTTTGTAAAGGTATAGGTGCCTTGGGAATACCTGGGAAGATGAAAGGTATCCACTCAGTTGCTAACGACGCAGACGGAACGAGAGGTACAGACCGGTCCAACGAAGCGTCAGTCTCTGAAGACCCTCCCTGCCAGCCAGAAGAGAACGTCAATGTCGGGCAGGTGTCTTGAAATACCTGGACGAAGCGAGGCATGATAGTCAAGTGCGCGAAGATTTGACAAATATCAACTTCTTATACTCGGCCTGCTCTATGCACAGAGCAGCCCAGAGTGTGTGTAACGGACATCGCAAGTCATCACATGCCCCACGGAGGGTAGGCCAGTAAGCTTATGTGCATGTCATCTTCGACAGGTTGTGCGACTATGAGAAGCCTCTGACAAGACGAAATCGGGGATTGCCGAACGAAACACACCTAGGCTTCAGTGTTACGGAAGAGTTTTAGTTCTATGTCCGATTCATCAGCTTCGAGAAGGATTTCGCACAGACATACACACCTTTCTCTGGAGTAATTCTGCACCTGAAACCTTCGAAAGAAAAGATGCACAGCCAATAAGGCCACACGGAACCCTCGTCTTCTGAGAATTGTTGAACACCCCCAAAAACACTGAACGTTTTGAATTAATCATAGCAAAAGCATATGTCGTAGTTGGACACTTTACTGAGTGTCGAAGCATGTGAATTTAATTCGCTCTACCTCACAGAAATTTTGGCGTAGGACTGAATCGAGGCTGGTTCCAGTGACCACAATTCGTCGATCAGGGGGGGCAGGAAGGAACCAGGCCCATTGTAGTGTGCTCTTGTTACAGAAAGCTCGGCAGCGATGGTGAGTATGAGTACTCTACGCGACCCACAATGAGCGTTCAATGTCGAGGATGGACAAGTGATGGCTTACCCGGCGACAGCAGCGGTCAGCATATCACCTCGGAACAGTGTTCCTTCCTTCAGTGCTTCATCGACATCGGCTGTATACGCCGCCGTGGCACAGAAACTTGCGATGATGCTTCCAAGAATACAGCCAGCTCCGGTAACTTTACCAAGGACATCAACGCCGTTCTGCAAGACGATGACAGAGGTACCGTCGGATATGTAGTCCGTCGGTCCTGTGAGCACTACAATACATCCTATGAAATATGTCAGCACGGGTCAGAATTTTCGAAAGGCGCAAAGGTCAAGCACTCACTTTCTCTCCTCGCTAGATTTCGCACGAATTTCTCCGGGTCCTTAAATCCCAACCCCACGCTGTCGACGCCTTTCGACTCAACCTGTTTGAATGCATGAAAATTTACTCTGCTCAAAATTCGACGACATTACCTCGGCTGTGCCTGCCAAAGCCGCGAGCTCGCCTGCATTGCCCTTGATCACGCTTGCTTGCCAGGTGTCCAACAGTGCTATTCGTACGTTCGGTCGTCAGCCTTGACTGCGGTAGGGCTATTTATAGACCCACTTCTTACAGCATCCTTCCTGAATGCACTTGCGCCGATGCCAACTGGGTCAAAGACGACCGGTTTCCGGAACGAGTTGGCAAAGGCACCTAGGTATAGGTTAGAGGTGGGAAGGATAAAGGAGACACTTCTCGTACCTGCGAGGAGCATGCCAGTAAGGTTTTCTTCTCGTAGAGTTCCAATGTTGACCAACAGAGCGCCACATATCCGCGTCATGTCCTCCATTTCTGATGGAGCAGTGGCCATGATGGGACTTGCACCGACAGCAAGAGTGACATTCGCCGACTGGGTCGTTACAACCACATTTGTAATCTGGAATGGGTTGGGGTTGGTGCTGAGGCGACAGATTAAACCATACTGACCTGATGAACCAGAGGGTTAACCTTCCTTATTTCTGTCATTAAATTCACGACACCGTCCAGGATGGATTCCACAGTCAGGTTGTTAGACGAGCTTAGTGCTAGCATGCTTCTTGAACTCTCGTTGAACTGCTTGAAGATGGACCTGAGCTTGGAGGCAGCCTGTCCAGGTTCGAGCGACGCAACGATGTCGGAGACGATGGCGACTCCATCTAGAGCATGGCCCGTAGTGGAGACGCAGCCGTGTAGCGTCCTGAGAAGGTTGGTCGACTTGATCCCACCTACCGGTGCCACTTAAGCAATCTACACGCGTTATTTACAGGAATGCTCGACACACCGATAGCCACAGCCTTGATGCCTGTCCCATCCAGCACCCTCAACATCGCGCCAACACCACGAACACCAATGATCGGACTGGTCAACTTCTTCGTCTGCGTGCCCCAGACTGCGCCAACGCCAATATAATCCACTTTATCGAGCACGGCCTGTTCGACGTGCGCGACGTTATTACAACTAACACCTATAAGCGACCCTGGAGGAAGAAGCTTGCGCGCCATGTCGACTGTCATATCCGTTTGGCCAAGGTGCACACCATCAGCGCCAATTGCGAGCGCGACGTCGACTCGGTCGTTGATGATGACAGGAACATTGTACTTGTCACATATCGCCTTGGTTTGGGATGCTATGTGGATGAACTCTCGCGTCCTCAGCGCTTTGCATCTTCAGACAGGGAATGAAGACTCACTTCTCGTGTATCCACGTCCTTCTCGCGCACTTGGACTACAGTAACACCCCCGCGAATAGACTGGCAGGCAATCAAGATTTCGAAAACACATTCGGATACAAAGGCAATACTTCTTCGAGGGACTCCAGATAACCCTTGCCGGACGGTAATAAGGCTCTTCCCGTCACAAGATAGAGAGAGTAGTCAATGCCCTTCATGCTGCGTCCAGCCGCCGTGGAGAAAGTTGGTGGTATGAAGAAACCAAAAAAAGTCAGGATCAAGTCAGGATAGCCCGAAATATCTCCAAAGCAAGATAATGCGATAAGATAAGATCAATCGATCTACATGGACACACGAAGCTTAAGAATAGTTAGCTAGAGAAGAGATACATGGCAAAAAAGCAAGGATTGTACATACCGGGTATATCGTTCCTAGACACCACTCAATCCGCGTCGAGTTCGGGGTGTTGGAATTTTGATCAAAACATAACTACGATCATCAAACGTAAAACAAAGCAGAAAGCAGATGGGCATTCCGACACAGATACCCAAAAGTTACAACAAATACACAGAGAGCAATCATCAGTATAGCAGGGTTCAAAAACGAGCACGAGCACGGAGAAAGCGAGGGAATGAGATGAGCGGTGAGTAAATACAATGATGCTGAGTGTCCGTTTCTGCCCGGCACAAGTGAATGACGATCATCTGTGCATGTGTGTTAGAGAGCCTCAATTACGCCGCGGTGGGGGTGGGAGGAGGGTGCGCGCCTGTTATGAAATCGTCGCATCAGTGAAACGCGTAATAAATAAACTTCAAGGGATGAGCTTGCCTCCTCGGTCACCCCTTCCACGTCCTCGACCACCCCTTCCGCGCTCACCATCACCTCGCCATTCGCCTCCACCACGGCCGCCACGGAAGCCTGAAACGCCAGTTCAATCAGCTTCATGAACGATGAGCAATGAATGAAAGTAATAGACGCACCTCCACGATCACCTCCCCGGAAACCTCCTCTGAAACCGCCGCGATCGCCTCCTCTGAAGCCACCACGATCGCCACCACGGAAGCTACCACGATGGTGGTGGCCGTGGCCACGCTCGCCGCCTCTGAACCCACCACCGCGACCACCACGACCGCGTCCCCTAGCCTGGGTGAATCCATCGTCCTCAGCAGGAGCAGCCTCGCCGGTGGCATGTCCGTTGCCCTCTGGTACGGGTGCCTCTGCCTTCTGCTGAACTGCCTCTGCTTCAGCAGGGGTTGCAGAGCCCGAAGTACCGAACTCGGCGTGAAGCCCTGCGATCGAAGGCAGTCCACCCTCCTCATCAGCAGCCCAGTCGAGGGTACCGTTGGTCTAGAAGCAAAGAAGTCAGCGAGTTCATCTCAAAGGTTGGAAAATGCCGCGTACATCCGCGGGAGCAGGCGCGATTCCTTCTGGGGTTTGCCCGTTAAGCGCTGCCTGTTCCTCATGACCAGCATCCGCTTTCTCGACCCACTCAGCACCTTCCTCGAACGACGTTGTCTCGATTTCGCTTTCCTGGATAAACCGGAAGCTGCTTGACATTGTGCCTGTTGGCAGGCCAGTCACGGCAATGTCGGGTTCAGCTTCTGTGGTGGGTTCTGTTAGTGTTTGCTCCTCCACATACTCTTGAGGCGGAGTAGGTGCACGTGGAGGGTTGAGCGCCTCTTGAGTGATGGCGAGTAGTCTTGAATCTGCGAAATTACAGTTAATACAGAAAGTCTAAAGACAAGAAATTCGCCGTACATGAGACACCGTTCAATTCACCAGAACCACGCAGGAGGCCGTTAAGGACCGCTTGTTTATGTTCGCCATCCTCAGCGACAAGAGCTTCGGTGACGGCATGGATAGCGGTGAATTCGGGTTCAGCAATAGCCAGAGCACCAGTCGATAGTAATGAACGAAGGCGGAAAATATGAAGAATGTCACTTGTTTTGGAGATAAGTGCAGCCTACGTGGTCAGATGGTCAGTGCGACAGTTTGGACAAGCAGTGAGAAACAAACCTCGGCAGCAGAAACGGCCTCAGCCACGCGCGCCTTTTCGGCTTTTTCAACTTCGAGGCGCTTAGCAGGAAGTTCTTGCGCCAACTCGGCTTCATGTTGCTGGATGTGCGTCAGTAACCAAGGAAGAGGAGATGAAACAAAGAGCTTGCTTCAATCGCCTTTTTCACTTCGCTGAGCTCCTTTTGAACGGCCTCCAGTGTTGGCAGTGTCTTCAGAGTTCGTTTTTGGTCGTCGTTCAGCTTCTCAATATCTGTGCTGGCATAAGTTGATATCCGCGACTACGTTGACGAACAGTTCAGTCATATGTCAGCAAACGGACGCGAGAGAAACTTACAATCTTCTTCGTTGTGGCTTTGAGGCGCTTCGTGACAACTTCAACAACAGGGCTGTTCTTCAACGAGAGGTCTTCCTCCGGCAGCGGGGGCGCCTGAGACTCAGACATCGCGATCAGCTCCGGTGCAGGTGATCCCTCGGCCACCTCAGCAGCTTCAGGCGCCTTTTCAATGAGAGCAGCGGAGGTAGGGTCTGGCACGGAAGGCGACGTCTCGTCGCCGTGGTCAGACTTTCCCTTGGCTTTTCTCTTTTTCTTTTGGGATTTCGAGAGCGGCTCCGGGGGAGGGGCGCCGGGAACGATTCTCTGCTGGACTGCTTCGGGCATTTTTGGGGAATGTACGGTGAAGAACGGGTAGTTTGAGGTATTGGGATGTGAGCTGGACAAGGTTGAGAGCAAAAAAATGCGACGCGTTCTTTCTCACGATACTCATCTATTCATCAGCCGTCCCCGCAACTTGGACATCAACCAACACCTCCATCCCTGTCTTTCTGGACTTACGAAAGATCCTCAGGGCGGCATCTGTCAAGAAATGAACAGTTCTTGTCCACATTACATGGAGTCAATCACTGCGTCCTCGTCTCGACTCGACAACTCTTTCCAAGTTGACACCGACGCGCCCTTTGGCACAAATATATTCAGGACCGCGGATCTGAGGACTGGCCATGGCTCAAAATACTTTCAACGACTAGGCTAGCTTGGAATGAACGGCTTGTCAGCCGCCTTGGTCAAAATGCAGACCTTGAACCTTGTTCATGTTCAAATCATCCCTTGCTCGCCGCATTTTGCTCCTCCTCTGCTCCATGGACGACTTCAGCACGAATAGGCACGCCGACGCGCCAGTAAAACCTGATCTTGCAGCATCAGTGCCTTCTCGACATCCCGACCTTTGGTTCAGCGATGGAAATATCGCTCTGGTGGCTGGCGGCCTCTATTTCAACGTGCACCTCGGCCTGCTCTGTCGCCACTCGGAGCCTCTTAACGAGGCTATCAACGCTCTGGCTGCAGACGAGAAACAAACCCGCTTAATCGAAGGAAATGTTGTTTTGGAGCTCGACGACCAGCCTAAAGACCTGTGCCGTTTTCTTATGGCCTTGTATGATGGAGTGTGAGTGGGCTGGCAGGTTTTTATGACGAAGTTGCTGATGTTCGTATCAGCTCTGGTGTTCGATACGATCATACAGATTTCGAAAGCGTCTCTGCGTTATTACGACTCTCGACCAAGTATTCCGTTGAGCACATTCGAAGAGACATCTTGCGCGGCATGAGCACGATTTGGCCGCGAACGCTCTCCGCCTGGGAATTCAGAGAAGCAGACGCAACAGATCCTTCTGGCGTCTACAAGCCACGGTGCATATATCCACACCCAATGTGAGGCCTTTCCAAATTGTTCGAAGTCGTATGCTGAGGCCCTTTGTTAGCCTCGTCATCAACCTTGCAAGGGAAACCAACACCCCCGAACTTCTTCCGTCAGCCTTCTATGACCTCTCTCGCTGTTCAGCAAGCGAAATAGCCACCGGATACCTCTCGCCCCACTCATCTGAACGCTCGGAGCTGCATGTCCTCTCCGACGAAGATCTCATGAGCGCTCTCAAAGGCCGCGAACACGCCTCGCGTTTCCTCTCTACCTTCGTCGTCAACGAGCTAGAAGGACGTGAAGTCTCCGCTGGCTGCGTGCACCGCACCGACCCCGACCCGTTCCGCAAGCGCATCTGCCAGGCGACCTTCGAGTCGACGACCTTCGAGATCTTGCGCGACGTCAACGGTGTCGTCTTCCACCGTAGCTCTGACCCCTTGTTCGCGATCATGGACGCGGACTTGATGCAGACGCGCAGCGACGGCTCAGGCGGGCGGCTGAGCTTGCTCCATCGTGCGTGTGAGCCGTGTCGGGTGGAGTTCACGAGCTCTGTGGATGCCGCAAGGGAGGAGATGTGGAGTAAGTTGCCTGCTTGGTTCGGGATTAGTTTGCCTTCGTGGCCATAATCGATTTGTCATTGTTCGTTCTGAAATTATCCTGTAATAGACACGATCGCATACAAATGCGCCTGAAGGTCCTTTCATGGGTGCGACTTGATGCTTTGATGGCAAGGTCAGCGCCCAGCAGCCTCATCTGCTATTTTTCCATCACTAGAACCCGGGTAACCAACCACGCGCACTTGCATTAGAATGCTGCAAGGAGCCCAAGGGAGAAAAAAAAAACATACTGGACATCGCGTCGACAGAGCGCATATTCGTCTAGACTCCAAATTGATAACATAAGCTTCTGCTGACCTTTCAGGTGTCAAGTTCCCCGAGAACTTCTCTCAAGAGGGGTATATTCAGGAGGATCTTTTCAATTGCAGCGATCGCGTAAACAGCCTCCGTGGCCGTCGGTGGCACATCAACGTTTCAACATCTGGCAGCGTCCCACATGTCGTATGTCGCATTAAAAGAGTGATAAGTGAAGCTTGAAGCGCCCGTGAGTTTTTCTTTTCTTCCGTTCCTACAACATGGTTGACTCCAAACAAGGCCAGGGGTATCGTCTCTCAAGCGAAAACCCTCCTTCGAGCCACGGTCATGCCCCGGGTACCGGGCCTCTGAAAGTTCCTGCCGCGAGTATCGCGGAGACCGCCAACTCACTCGCCGACCAACAGGCACCTTGGATGAAATCGCGCCCATGGCGCTCTGGAGAACCTTTCCAGCACCCCCTGCCCAAGGACGGCGATCCGTGGCGAAAGTGCAACCAACTCGTGAAGGACTTCGATGACGCGCGGTGCGAGCGCTGGAAGGATGAGGTGCAGAATTTGCTAATTTTTGTGAGTTTACTTCTTGGGGATCGTTTTATTTTTTTCTTGGTGTTGATTATTCGGCTCATGATAGGCAGGTCTCTTCTCCGCCGTCGTAACCGCGTTCGCTGTGGAGACGCAGCGCCTTCTCCAAGAGGACCCAGACGCGACGGCCGTACTCCTGCTCGCGCAGATCGCAACACAAATGAGTCAAAACACGTCGGCACCACCCGATCCCGTACAAACCACACTCATACCATTCACCGCGACATTACAGTCTATCCGAATCAACATTCTCATATTCCTCAGTCTCGTTCTCTCACTGGCCACTGTATTATTCGGCATTCTGACTCTTCAGTGGATCCGCGAGTTCCAACGAAAGGAGAACGTATCTCACGTCGAGATGTTGATCATTCGGCAAGTGAGGTTCGAAGGGCTGACGAAGTGGAAGGTGCCTCAAATCATCTCCCTCCTCCCTGTTCTCCTTCAGACAGCGCTCGTTCTCTTCTTTGCAGGATTGATCGATTTCTTGGTCAGCATTCACCAGACGCTCGCCATCGTTGTCGGTGCGGTGGTCGGCCTTACTCTTGTCCTCGCGTTTACAGCGACCATTCTGCCAGCTCTGCAGAGCTTGTACTGCTTGATCATGTTCCCGAATAATCCCGGAATCCAGTGCGCGTACAAGTCCCCTCAGTCTTGGGCATACTTCCGACTCATCTTCAACCCTATTTCCTTCCTCTTCACAACTGCGGGCAAGATCCACCGCGAATTCGAGGTCAAAAACTCTGTTATCGAGAACCTCACCCAACTTGCCAACGCGGATAATTGGTCTGATTACGACAAGATTTGGAAAGTCCACAAAGACGCAGACATCGATGCACCCCTTGCGTGGATAGCGACAGCTTTTACACAGAACCTCGAGGCTGTCTGCGCCATTTATCAGTGCTTTCGTGACGCCGATATTGGGAAAGCTTGGAAGGCATACTGGAAGATTGAGGGCGAACATCATCTTGCACCAGCCGTCGAAGAGCTAAGCCAGAAGGATCAGGAGCTTATACGTGACCTGATTTCGGAGGGAGCCGTCCGTCATTTTACAGCCAAGAAAGAATTGCGCCACTCTCAATCATTAATGATGCATCATCTCGAATTATACAATCGGGCCACGACGTCTGGCGCTCGAATGTCCGACAAATGCATGCCTTGTGTGAGGCTGTTCACACCGAAGTGTCCTGACCTATCGTGGATTGAATTTGGATCTACAGGTGCACCGGACATACCTCAAGGTTCGTAGATGATCGAAGTGTTTTTACTCCCCATTGGCTAACAATTATAATAGAGATGCAACTCCAAGTTCTCAATTCACTCCTACTCAAGATGGAGGGCAAGGTGTCCATGCAGTGGCATGACTTTGATCTCTTCTGGAATGTCATATTTCGATTCCTGCAGCATTCCTCTCACTTGGAACAACGGATTTTGGACGACGTCATGGCAAGTCTGGAACGGGCAATAGGGGTGCCTGTCGAAGGACATCATCGAAGTGCAAGAACGGAATGCAATGTGGCCTTCTTTAACCAAATTTTACATCCCCTGGCTAGCGGCTTCACAGGTCCACATTTCCAAGAAAACCTTGCCGACCTCGCGAAACGCCTGCCTTTCGTCCGGTGTATGACAATATTAGAAAATTACCCTCAAGCCATGACCACGAGTGATCGCGAGTGGCAAATACACTTTTGGGAACATTTCGTCAAGACATGCAACTTCGATTCGTCACATTTTTATTGTTCCGTTTGAGTAGTACGCGTATCCCCAAAAAAATTCTTAGATCAGCACGACACAACTGACGAACCTCGTTGATATCATGGATGAGACAAAGATCATGGGGGTGACATTTCTTTGGTTGTGTGCTGGTCGACAAAGGTTCTTGGCGATATTTGATTCGCTCCGCAGCGTGCGCCACAAAGCTTGGCGCCCGAAACTGCCTCATCCGTTGCCTCACGCATAGATATTTGGTTTGATCTCAAGAATGGAGGAAAGTATCAGGGCAAAAACTCCTCTGTCAAACATTTTCTATCTATCGAGCAAATAACAAAATATTATGGGTCTCGTTGCTAAGCCCCAGTTGAATAAAACTCTCTAATCTCCATATATGTATCGTGCTCACCGAACCTCAGAGGCTCCTTTCTAGTTCATCCGTTCTCTGATATACATTGTCCTCCTCGTTGAGTCCTTGTAGCCGCACGGATAGCGCTAGATAAGATAAGATAAGATGTGTTGTCAAGCGTTAGCTTGGCGGGTTTTTCGGTGATGGGCGATTTCCGTTCCATCACCATCACTGTCACCTTGAGCGCTCACTGCGTCCAGCCTTTGTTGCATTGGGAATCTGATACGTTGACAGCCCGATTGAATTCGGCTCAGGCCGTTCAATTAAAGCTTCAAGTCCTGTGCCTGGGGTGTAAGCTATTCCTACTCTTTTTCCCTTCAAGCAATGAGCGACCATCATCTAAAACCGCAGGAAAACCGATTCAGCAATGCCTCTCAAAACGAAAAGCTTCAACGCCATCCGAGTCCTGGTCTTCAACCCAAGGTGGCTCCTGCGAGTGTCGCGGAGACGGCAACTTCTTTCGCGGACCACCAAGCGCCTTGGATGAAATCGCGCTCATGGCGTTCGGGAGAGGCATTTCGACACCCTTTACCCAAAGACGGAGATCCATGGAGCAAATGCAACCAGATGGTTCAGGATTACGACGAAGCCCGGTGCATGCGTTGGAAGGACGAGGTTCAGAACCTCTTGATTTTCGTGCGTCTGTCTTGAATTCTGCTTTTGAGCGATAATTTATTACTTATCAAATTTGATAGGCTGGTCTTTTCTCTGCAGTCGTAACCGCGTTTGCTGTGGAGACCCAGAGACTGCTTCAAGAAGACCCCGACACTACAACTGCCCTTCTGCTGGTCCAGATTGCGACGCAGCTCAGTCAGAATGTATCTTCAACGCCAATCCCTACGACCCTCGCTCCATTTTCTGTGACAGCCCAAGCGATACGTGTCAACATCTTCATCTTCATCAGCCTCGTTCTTTCCCTTACCACAGTGCTTTTTGGCATCCTCGCCCTCCAATGGCTCCGAGAATTTCAAAGGAAGGAAAACCTCTCGCACACAGAATCTTTGGTGATTCGCCATCTCCGATTCGAAGGCCTGATCGCCTGGAAGGTCCCCCAAATCGTCTACCTGCTGCCCGTCCTCCTTCAAGGAGCCCTGGTCCTCTTTTTCATAGGGTTGATCGACTTCCTGACGTCCATCCACGCAGGTCTCGCTATCGCAGTGAGTATCGTGGCCGGCATCACACTCATCCTCCTCGGTCTTGGCACCGTCCTTCCTGCCCTTCAAACTTTCTTCTACCTGATCGTCCTTAACGAGGAGCCCGGTGTTCCATGCCCGTACAAGTCCCCTCAAGCATGGGTAGTTTTCAGGTTGCTGTTCGAAGTGGCCAGCTTCATCTTCAAAAAAGCGTACCGAGTTCACTGGGCATTCGTCGTTGCCTCTTCCAGAATCGAGACGGTTGCGCAGGCCAGGGGTTGGTCTGACTACGACAAATTGTGGAAGCTGCACAAGAACGTCGACATCGACTCACCTCTTACCTGGGCCGCCAGCACATTCACGCAAAATTTCGAGTCCGTCTGCGCCATTTACCATTGCTTCCGTGACATCGATGTCCGAAAGGCGTGGAGGGCATACTGGCGCCTCATGGGTCAAGAAGTGGTGATGTCGGGAACAGAACCTGATCAGAAAGATAGTGAGGTTCTCCGCGACCTCGTTTCTGAAGCCCTCATCCAGCATTTCTCGAACGAAACTGAGATGCGTCACTCGCATCCTATGGTCCTCCATCACCTCGAGCTGTACAACAGGATCATGACGTCGATGAGCCGACTCCCTGATGATCATGAAGGTTTCTCGTGGTATTCTCAATCACATACACCGACCTGCCCAAACATCTCATGGACGGAGTTCGGATTCAGCAGCAGCCCCGACCTTCCTCGAGGTAAGTTTCTTTTGGTCTCATCGTCGATCACCGTCCGATCTGACCTTTCTGGCCAGAGATGCAGCTCCAATCTCTGAACTCACTCCTACTCAAGATGGAGAAGAAAACTCTAGAAGCGCACGACATGCGTCTTTTCTGGAACCTCGTCTTTCGGTTCCTCAAGAACGACTCGCATCACGACATCGGCGCAGGATCCGTCATCGATGATGCCTTCATCAGGCTCGGACAATGGATGGAGGGTCACGATCCGACACATACACAGACGCGCATGCTGGGCATGATGGGCATGAATGCTTTCATCGACCAGATGGTGCTCCCTCTATACGTCAGTGCTAGCATCGGCCCGCGGTTGCAGCAGAGCCTCGTCGACCTTGGGCTGCTGCCGTCTTTCCTTCATTGCATTTCGATCATGATGAATGAACCTCACTTCATGGAACACTTTACGGACTTGCATGCGTGGCAGAGGTTTGTGGAAGTGTGTAATTTGGACTCGAGATACGCATATGTACAGTAATCGGTGCAGGATGTCTTTTCAAGACGTCCTACTGCTTAATAACACTAGAGTTTTGATCCCAGGATCCTACGGTGCAGAACCCTCAGCTACTTGTGAGTGAAGGGACCTAGGGTGTGGTCTCGAGCCATAGTGGCATTTGTTCACGAAGTTGAACCAAAGACGCTCTTCAAAATTATCTTCAAATGAAGGCCTGTCCCTATTGTTCCCCAAGATTGACATAAAGCGATGAAAAGAGGGTCGTTTGGCAAGATCGATAATATTCTGCTTGAAGAGTGGGTCCGTCGAAACTCGGACACTATTAATACGGTGAAGGGGCAACAAGAAATTGTGGAAAAAACTCGTATTACAATCTTGGCGGGATTCGCAGCTGAGGGCCTCTATCGCTCGACTGAAAATTTCTAGCGCGTCTTCTAAGATATGATGCTCGACGGGAGGGCACTGACACAGGAATCGATAGATGATGTCCCAAAAAAGGTTAAATTCCGACCATTGTAAAGGCATCCAGCTGGGGCGCTTGAGAAGGAGGGAGTTCAGGCACTGAAGTAGTAGCGCTAGGTTGCATCATCAGAGGCGGGAAATGAAGCATCCGATCAACTACGGACCTCGGGGAATGCTTACCGCGGGGTTCACTGGAGACCAGGATGTGTTAGGGGGTTTTGGTTTACAGTTCTTTAACCACTGCCGGGAATCAGGGTTCGTCATGACTTGACTAAAATCCGAAGCTGACGCCGTGATTCGATTGTACAACTCGAGGTGGTGCAATGTGAAGGAGTCAGAATCTTGGTCTGTCGTAAGGAGGCGGACAATTCCTTCTGTGGCTAAATCACGCAAGAGCTCTTGCTCTCGCGGCTCGAGGTTTCCGATGAAGAGCGGAGGATCTTGAGGTAAAGCCTCTATTCGCCAATATGCTTTCCATTTTGTCTGAAGATCAACCCCTTGGAAGCAGTGATAAATGGCGTAGAGGGCTTCGAGGTTTTGCGAGAAGGTCCTGGCGGCCCACACCAGCGGTGAGTCTGCCGTGGTGTGGGTGTAAGTTTTCCATATGTGATTGTAGTCTGCCCAATTCTTTGCGTTGACGAAACGTGCTAAGCTCTGCAATGTAAGCTGATGATCAAGTCTTGTCACAGGGACCCCCAAGAAGAATGAAAAGGGGGCAAAGAATAATCTGAAGAACATTCCTGATAGAGGAGACTTGTATGGGCATTGAGCAATGTCGCGACGAGGGAATAGCACCACGTAGTAGAGGCTCTGAAATGCGGGAAGCACAGTGGCTGCCATGGTGAGAATGAAAGTGAGACCAACGACAACGCCGACGATTATGGCAACGGATCGGTTTACAGGCGCCAGGAAGTCGACTAATCCTGCAAGAAAGCAAAGAAGGGCGATCTGGAGGATGACCGGTAGGAAGGAAACAATTTGGGGGACCTTCCACTGCACCAATCCATCGAAACGAATCTGCCTTATCACCAACGAATCTGTATGAGACAAACTGTCTTTCCTTTGAAATTCGCGAATCCACTGGAGGGTAAGAGTGCCAAATAGTACTGTTGCCAGAGAAAGGGCGAGACTGAGAAATACGAGTGCGTTGATGCGTATGGCTTGGCGTGTCGCAGAGAATGGCGTAAGAGTGGTTTGAAGCGGTGTGAATGAGGTGCTGGATGATGCATTTAAGCCGATTTGAGCAGAGATCCGAGCAAGGAGGAGGGCAGCTGTATCCTGGGCGTCTTCCTGAAGGAGCTTTTGAGTTTCAACAGCAAAGGCGGTAACAACAGCGGACGCGAGACCCGCCTGGCCAGAGAATATGTCAATGAACACAGAAAGATTTCTAGCCGGGGTGAGCTTACGAAGATCAACAAGTTCTGAAGCTCGTCTTTCCATCGACCACACCGTGCTTCGTCGTAGTCCTTTACGAGTTGGTGGCATTTTCCCCATGGATCTTCTGCTCCCGGCAATGGGTATCGAAGGGGATCGCCGGATACCCATGGAGAGGATTCCATCCACGAGGGTCGTTGGTCGGCGTTGGTGTTGGCAGCGTTGACGGCTGGTGCAGGTGAATCATTCATGTGTGAGTTGTCAGTATGCGGTGCACCTCCAGCCAGGCCTGAACTCGAGGGACCCTCATTTTCGGAATTCAGGCTGCTAGACCTTGGTTCTTCTTCGATGTTCGTGTCAAGATGAAGGGATGTGTTCGCACTGGGAAGGCAGTTGTGCGGGAAAATGTCCTTTATCTGATAAGATAAACACTAATTCACAAAATCGTTGGAGGCTAAACCTGACCTTGACCAAAGACCACCTCACGGGGACCTATGCCAGAATACCTTACAGAGACACAGATCGCCAAGGTACGTCGGCACCATGAGCATTATTGCCGACGCCATCGAGTAATCTGACTTCTGGCTCAGTTTTACAAAGACGGGTGCGTCTGCTACCATTCAGATAAACAACCATCTCAGTTGCGATACGGGTGCCCTTCAAGCTATCTCGTCATTCCCCAATTTCTTCTTCCAGAAGAAACGCAGTCGCTCCTCAATAGGTCCAAGCAGCTTCTGGACGAGTTCGACATTGACCAGCACCCTCGAGTCAGTGAAACCCGCAGTACAACACCGCTAAATGCTGAGAGGAGTTTCAGACGAAGTTCACGACCGGCGATGACAATCACGTCGGGGACGATTACTTTTTGACCTCTGGAGATAAGATGTGAGTCCAGATTCCGCTATTTGTAAGTCTTGGACATACAAATTGTTTCCTTCAGCCGATACTTCTTGGAAGAGGATGCCGTCGACACGGAGGGAAAGCTGCTACGGGAGAAACAGAAATCGGTTAACAAGATTGGGCATGGTAAGAATACTTCAAAGCCACTCCGTCGGTGTCTAATCTGTTATTTTTCCTTATCAGCTCTCCACGAGCTCGATCCTGCTTTCAGAAAGGTTACCCTTGAGAACGAACGTCTAAGAGCTGTTGTGAGAGACCTGGAGTTCCACCGGGATCCAGTCGGTATGTGGTTTTCCTCGTCAGGCCCATGCAATCTGTACCAAACCTGTCTCAGCCCTCCAGTCAATGGTCATTACCAAGCAGACGCATATCGGGGGTGAAGGTATGTAACTGCTCCTCATATTGGACCAAAATATTGAGTCCTTCCCTCACTGAAGTTCCGGAGCATAATGACTCGTATGTTCCCCGATCTGCGACCTTGACGAGTGCTGAACCGAAGATTCTACCACTCCCATCATAGGACCTTTCTTGTGAGATGGCAACCGACTACATCGGGCTTTCGACTAATTGCACATTTAGTATACGTACCCTCCTAGTGCCCTCGGCTTCTGGATTGCCTTGGAGAAGTGTACTGCTACCAATGGTGCTCTCTCCTTCCTCCCAGGATCCCATGTCATCACTCCAATCACGAAACGTTTTGTGAGGCTCGGAGATAACAAGGGCACTGGCTTCGAAGACTTGGTCCCACCTTCGGTTCAGAGGGAGGTCTCCGAAGCGTCCAAGGGCAACTACGTCCTCGAAACATGCAACCCAGGTGTGACAGGTGTTCCCTCCTGAATGACGGCACTGACAGTCCAACAGGCGACCTCGTCCTCATTCATGGCTCCGTGCTGCATAAGTCTGAACGAAACACGAGCCCGCACACCCGATTCGCGTACACATTCCACATGATCGAGTCTCCTCCATATGCGAAATACGACGAGAAGAACTGGCTTCAACCAACGAAGGAGATGCCATTCTCGAAGATCCTGCCACCTAGAGAGATCAGCGAGACTCGGCAACCTGTCCTCACTTCAGCATAAGTAATCTGTTCATGTATCCACGCAAACTTTTGATCATGTACTAATACATCTATTTGCCTATTTCTACGAGATATAAGGAATTCATTCTTCTGTCAAAAAATCGCCAGTGCACTGTCAATAATCTCATTAATGAACGACATCGTCCGCGCTTGATTGGACACACTTTGGAGGACTGGCAATGCCGTTAACGATATTCAACGGGCTCGAAGTCACGAAGAACGTGTATCGATTCAACTCGCGACATGCTTTGCTTAGGCCTTCGAGGTCGAACAGTTCGCCTATCGGAGTCTGAGGCTTCATGAACGAAGTGTCCCGATCTTAAGTTCTAGCCAACACACTTACACCCCACAGAGCCAACAAATAGTCGTGGAGATTCCAAGGAAGCGGATTGGGCCTAGCTTCAAATGCAGGAGCATCTGAAGCCACTGCCGCGAAGTGGTGATTCCTGTCGACGTTCTAGTAAGCGTTCATGTCGTCCCATAAGTAATTTTGCTCACCATAACCATTCAATCTCCTCCTGGCCTTGCTTCATTCCCACAACATTGGTGGGTCCCAATTGCGTCGCCCGTCTTTCCTCCTCCGTGGCGTTCTCGTACCAATGAATGAAACCCATTCGGATAAAGAGGATGTCTCCTTGCTCGAATGACACTCCTTGAAGTGCGGCGCATTCGTCCAAGTCCTGGGCAGTGATTCCGTGATGGCGGTTTGGGACATTGATACCCTTTTGTTGGGCATAGGAGAAGTAGTCGAGGAGGATCCCTCGTCCGACTACCTTTCCCTGGAAAGCTAGCGTAGGAAAGTATGATAGTAAGTGGAATATATATATATATATTAGCCGTGCTGACCTTGTATTCCGTTTCGCCCAGGATTGTCGAAAGCCGAGCTGCACCCTTTCCCTTCAGCGGTCAGGACATCGCTGACATTCAACCCGTTGTAGAACTGCCCTAAAAATGCAGTTCTTCCTTCAACACACATCCTCCGTCATCAAATAAATCGTACCCGTCTCATAATAACTCCAATGCCGAAACCCATCCCACTGTGACCCACACTGCGTATTCAGGCTCACCTCGTCGTCCACAACAGACGTCACTGGGACCGCATCCACACGGAACACCCGATGCTCCAGCCCCTTCCTGCGCATCCCCGCTGGATTGGGCTTATGCAGCTCCCAGTTGAGGCTGAACACACGGCCTGTTTGGATCTGGGTCTGCGCGGCGCACAGGATGCGAGTGGGGGTGAGCAGGTTGAGTGCGCCGAGCTCGTCTTTCGTGGATGAGCCGGAGAGGTGCTCGTAGAATCCCCAGATGGCGGCTGTGAAAGGAAAGAGGGGAGTGTGGTTAGTTCGTCGGAAGAGGATCGTTTGAAACGGGTGTCGGATTCGCCTTTGGGATCTCCTCCGCGGAAGGGCAATGCTGAGAGCGGAGGGAACTCGACGTTGTCGAATGGAGATGGTGAGGCCATGGTGTTTGGGATTACGACGCTGAACGCGAAAACCGGAACTCAAGCGACCCGAGTACAGTGATCTCCCTCTTATCGCAGAGGCGATGACTCAACGGCTCCCTCGTGAGTATTACACGCCACGGTAATTCTCCTTCAACCTATTTATGCTGTCGATTCCATCCCAAACTAGGTTTACTAGCACACGCTTCTGGATTTGTTCTACTGCAAACGAAAGAACATTCAGGTCAGCAGGCCATTCCTCAAGGGCAAAAATAACAGAAACAAGTACCTGCTGCCCTTCCGACTCTTGATCTGCCTTCAGTTCCTGCCCTTCGAAAGCTACAGGCCTGCGCAGTCTGCGTTTCGTATAGTCTCGTCGGATGCACCCCTTCCTAAGGAACTCTTCTCGGCTTGGGCGAGCTTTCGGCCGCCACTTCGGGTTCCTCGACTTCCCCTCATAGATACACTCTTCAACCGTCTCATGGCCTTTCTTCTTCCTTTGTTCCATGTCTGGGTTGGGAACATCGGTGTAGTATCGGTGAACGTATACCGTGCCGTCCTCGGTTTCCTTCTCTTCCTCTTCTATCCGCAGTGGCTGGAGATGCCTGTCGACAGTGTAACATATTCTTCCGTGCGCCATTTCAAAAGTCATTTCCAAGCTTGGAGAATGCATCTTTGGCCAGCAAAAGTTGGCGATAAGTCCAGAGTGAGTTGGTTGCTGGCAAGATGCAAATGGGGAGAAACTGGTTGATGACGAAAATCATTTCAGGGTCACTATGATAGCATATATACATAGTCCTCCGCTCGCTTATTTTTCCTCCTTATTCACGTCCGATTCTATACCTCCAAGCCTGCTCCTCTGTGAGAGATGGATCAACTTTCAAATGAATTGCGCACCATCTATACACAACCCTCGAGTCTTTGTCACGACATCTAAGATCCTCCGAGGCAGCAGCGTACGCGGCATAACCGACATGGCCGAGGACAATTCTGGCACCGACTTGGTTTGCAGCGTCGATGGCAAGACCCATATCTTTCTTCATGAGCTGAACCTGTCGATGTTTTATTCACATGAATATCAAAGGGACTGAGGCAATGAGTCCGAAGCTGGACCGTCATGGACCCACAACTCCATCGGCGGGTCAAGACGCCTCTGCCTCATCTATCTACCAAGCACTTAATTCACCTTGAACCCACCCTCATATCCCCTACTCGTAACCGCATCCGGACACACACCCGGCACCGGGTTGACCGTATCGTTCACCCAATTGCCCCCACTGCTGGTGCTAAAACACTTCTGCAGCACCTTCGCGTCCACACCCAGCCTCATACCCAAATTCATCGCCTCGCTCGTCGCCAAAGCAATTAATCCACTGAGGTAGTTGTTGCTCAGCTTCGCGGCGAGACCCAAGGAGGGCCCGCCGAGGACGTGGATATGTGTTCCCATTGTTCTGAGGATGCGCGTGAGGAGGGCGAGGCGGGGCGAGGTGGGCGAGCAACCGAGGAGGATTGAAAGGGTACCGCGAGATGCGCCGGCGGTCCCGCCTGAGACAGGTGCATCGAAGAAGTGTGGTGCTGGAAGCCTGGGGTTGGTGGACTGGTGGTAAAATTGGACGGATTGAGCGACGAAGAGAGACGTTGCGATGTCGATTGTTGAGCTGTCAAGCGTTCAGAAGAGAATAAATTGGAAAACAAATTGGAGAGACCATACCAGTCTATGAAAATCTTCCCAGATATATCATTCGCTGCCAGAATACCAATGTCTGGAGTTAGAAAAACAGATTTGACATGAGTGCCTTCTGGTACGATCGTAACAATGCAATCCTAATTGTTGAATGTATCTTAGTGTGCCACCTCACAGAAGGAGATAAGGCGTATCGACTTACAGCTTTCTCTGCGACCTCCTTTGCACACCCAGCAGCAACCACCTTTGCCTTTGCGTCGCCCGCTTCCTGTTCGACGGCGGTCGTTGCTTTAATGAACCGCTCCACAGCACTCGTGTCGATGTCATAGACATATATCACCCTATTTGATGGTATCTTCTTGTGCAGCTGCTGCGCCATAGGAAATCCCATTGCTCCAAGGCCTATCCACCCAAATGTCTTCGAAATATCTACATCGGCGTTTGAATCCATTCTGTTAAGTAATAGGGAAATGAGAGCTAGGGTGTAGGATGTTGTGGAGAAAGCGAATCTTCATCTTCCCAGAAAATATATCCCTATGTTCTTCATGTATTCATAGCTTGCAGATATGGCACGAGAAGAATTGGGCAGGGAAAGCCACGTCTAAAAATAGATGCACGCGGGCCGCCCAGGCCGACGAAGGCACGTGATAAGTATACCGACGGAACGACGCCGATCTCCGTCGGGCCTGCCTCCGAAAGCATGAAGTGTGAGAGGCTTCAATCGCTTTTTTGTCGATTATCAGGGCCTTCTTGTCAAGGAAAAGCACACCTCAGAAGCTATGGGCGAAAGACTGAACGATGGTGCTCACCAGGAACTCTACGATGCTGGGATGACGATGAGGCGCAAGGTTATGGTGAGGGCCAGCATGTATCTCCGTTGCTAAGTCTGGACGCCTTCCGCTGCTACAGGGGGACGAGTACGTCGATAATCAGCTCGCGAAGGTATGCAGACGTGTACATCGACGAGCATTTTGGGTGTCAAGCTTCATCGCATTCCCAATATCAGGGCACTTCGGATTTTATGAAGCCGATGCAAGAGCTCGTCACAGAGGTCCGTATATGCGCATTATCGCGGGCACTCGCTTCCGCATCCAATTACAAGCAGCTTAAACGGCATCCGAACAGGCAGCCTGGGGTACGATATGGACGCGGCCAGGCCTGGAATTGAAGCAGCGCAGCTTGATCGTCATCGCCCTGCTCGCATCCCAAGGGAAGGAGGCGGAGGTGTGTTCTGCCATGTTCACTTCGCTGTACAGCCCATGTCAGAAGAGAAGCTAACGAACGGTCTGTGACTTCCTATCCGCAGCTCGCAGGCCATATCCGGTGCGTGCAGTGTACAGCCTACGAGTGACTCTTGGCGCCTAACTTCCGAGTCTGCGCTTCCTTTTTACATTAGGGGTGCTGTGAACAACGGCGCGAGCGAAATCGAGGTTTGTGAGACGCTCTTGCAGACTGCGACCTACAGCGGCATACCGACTGGAATGTCGAGCTTTCGTGTAGCAGAAGACGTCATCCGCAAGCTGAAGGAAGAAGGAAAACTTCCGTGAGGGTAGGAAACATCGGAAAATGAAAGTAGCAATCGCTATCCGGAAATCACTCAAGATAATTGAATAATAATTTGTGGATCACGGGCGCCGAGTTAGCTGGTGTGGCTGTAGACGGGCCCTTCTCTGTCGGTCCCAGCTTGCTGCGCAGTCTTGGAGATGTTCCGCTGGGCCAGACCGACAGAAACTTCTCGATGAAACCGCAACTTCAATTTGAGCTCTCAATCTTTAAATTATGGGTGATAGCGGCGTCTTTCAACAAAATACGGACGCAAATGAACTCAAGTTCCCCTATGAAAGCATGGTTGAGGTCATCACAGCGCTCCAAAACGCGCCACACTCGTGCACAAAAAGCTGTGCTATTTCTGGCTTGGCGGACTCTTACGTCATGTTCCCACGGGAGGACGGAAACATTTTTGGCTGTTTGCGACCGATTCAGCTTGTCTATGACGCGCGAGACCCCGCTCCATCTTATAAAGGTCGCGGGTCTGGTCAAATCTCCATTTCTCCCGCCCACCACCTCCATCTCAGCGCTTTCCCTCGTCACCCACGTTCAGAAACTCCAGCGATCATGTCAGCACCAGGGTCTATGGGGGTTTTCTTCTGCTTTGCAGCGATGACGCTGCTCATTTTTGTGAGTACCCGATCATCTAATTGAGGGTCTTCGACTGAGACTTGGATTGTAGGTGTCCGTGTCAGTACCGACATGGGACAGTGTCTACTTCCTCGTCGTTGGAAGAGGCGTTTCTCAGATTCGATACGGAGTGTTCGGATTCACGGGTAGTGAAGTTGCGATTGGATATGAGTTCACGTACGGATCTTCCTCACGTTTGCTATCGAGAGCCTTTGTCTCATGCGCTTTGAACGACAGAAATGACAGTCTAAACTCGACCGTCCTGCACAATCTTACCCAAGCACTCATCCTACATCCCATCGGTACGTTTTCACACTTCTCAAACATCCCGAGTATCCACTGACTCTCATTCCGTTCCTCTTATTCCCTGTGTTATCTTCACCCATTTTCCACGTCTCTCTTTTGGAAAAACAGCTGCAGGCCTAGCTGGAATCGCTTTCTTCTTCGGCATATGCGGCGTCGCTGCTCGTAGTCGCATCGGGACCATCTTCATGTCCCTCGTCTCCGGCCTTGCCCTCATCGCGACCTTCGTCGCTTTCGTTATCGACATGGTCCTCTTCGGCATTGCGCGTAATCGGTACCGCGACGACAATATCTATGCCCAGTACGGAAACGCCAACTGGCTAACCCTCGGTGCGCTCGTGGCTCTCCTGATGGGCTTCTGCACGGCCGTCTGTGGTATCTTCGGACGCTACAAATCAAGGAGGGACACTGCCTACTGAATGAATCGATGACACCAAAGTTTCTCCTTTCGATCACACATCATTATCCAAGACTTCAATCCAAGTTTCGTTCTGCCATCCGCGTCTTTCATTATTGCTTCCGACTTACATCCTCACCCGACTTTCACCCATGCTTTCATCCTTGTGAAGCGTCGCTACCTCATGCCACGATGCATTGACGCTAAACGTCTTGCCCCCCTCAAAGTCCGTTACCCCCTCACACGACATCCCACGCCGTCATCTCCTTTCCACCCCTTCACGTCCTACTTACGCCCACGACCCATTCACCAGATTACCTGTATGCCTGTATCCTTAATCCCTAGAACAATTTTCCTCCCGTTGCAACTTTGATTTGTGCGGAATGCGGACTCTTTACTTACTTTTAACGCTATGTAGTCTATCAACCCGAACTTCCCTTCGACCTCGTGTAATGCTTATCATTTTTTGATTCAATCGCGATTGACTTTACGTCCTCCGACAACCCTTTGGCTTCCTTCTCCAACTTGGTGTATGTGTGTGTGCTCAGTACACATTTGCTGTATGTACCAGGGATGACATTGGTCATCTTACCTCTTCGACCGGCCCGACGATGATTCGGGTTGTCTGATCCTTGCACTATAAAAATACAAAAAAATTCATCTTGTCTTCCCCACTTTTTGGACTGTTGCCCCTGCCAGAACTTTCGAGGCCAGTGCCCCTATTCTTGTGTTCCAGTTGTTTGGAAAAGTTGATGACCGGCCCGACCACACCTCCATCTTTTCCCGCCACCACCCATGTCCAAAATTCTTTGCACCAGCCGAAGATGATGATACTGACGGCCATAAGCAAGATTAAAACAAGTTTCCGGTATCAAGTATGCCTTTTCCTGGCCGAAAACCGAAGACATGCTCACAAGGCGTCCAAGCTGAAGGGGCAGAAACAAGAACCAAGTCGACCCTCGGGTTCGCAAAATGCTGAGCCTCCTCCGTCACAGGGTTCTCAGTTCTCTTCTAGCAGCTCAAGTCAACCTCACCAGCAAGGTCTATTCATCCAGTCAAAGACTGGGCCGGGGACAGCGAAGATGGTGAATCTTCTAACGGGTTGGACGCCTGCTATTGATTGGTCGCTGTTCATAGGATGCTGTGCGACCATGTAAGTCATTGCTCGTTTCTACGGAGTGGAAGTTTGAACCTTCCTCTTATTTCAGGGCTGGATGGCTTATGGGGGCAGACGAAATCATCAAGAATGCTCATAACAATCGAGAGAGGGATGACAGCGAATCCCGCCTCCTCAGCCGCTACCACGTCGCTCATGCAATCAAACGCATCGACCATGTCTCCGTAGTCTTTGTTACTGTCGCCGGTGTCTATACTGTTATCCGTGGTCCTGGGTCTGCCCGTCATTTGCATCGGGCAGTCCTGGTACGGCCAGGTCCCGGTGTGCCTACCGCGCAGATCGACTTGTACTCCGCCAATAGGACACGATCTGGAGTGACGCTCCCTGTGCTGGGATCGTCTTTAGAGTGCGTGGAAGTGGTGTCCAAACGTCATTCGCACTATGAGTATACGATAAGCGGGCAGGCACTCGACGGAAAACGGTACAAGTATCGACTTACGTTCCTCGACCGTGGCGTTGCTGCAGATGTCAATGGAAAGCTTGTTCCGTCGCACACGCTGGGGGCATTGCTGGAGTCTGGCTGGTCAAGATATGGTGGACATATTTCCTTCAGGACGGTAGAGTTGACGTCCCCAATTCAAAAGTATCTCACCAACAGCTACTAGTTAGTTACAGCATCTATGATACACAAATTGTACAGTACAGAGAATCAAGCCTAAGTAGACGCTGCATGAGATGGAAAGAAACTGGACTCGAATTTTTGACGTGTACGCTTATCCGGGATCGTAAAGAGGACAGTCTCGAAGGACGTCATGAACCGCGCATTTGGGGCCAACAGCAGCTCCTGCCATATCTTGGCCATCTCTCGGACGTCGTTCTGGAAGACGCCCGTGCCGAAGCTGCCCAGGACGATGTGTTGCATGCCCTTGCTCTCGAAGAGCGCGAGAATCCGGCCCATACGCTCCTTCATCACCTCCCGAATCCTCCCCTCCGTCTCGTTGCGCGATCGGCGGCGCAGCTTGCGCACCTGGCCTGCATTCACCGCGGGGCTCGTCAGGACGTCGACCTTGATCGGCTGCGCCCACTCGCCGTTGTCGAGGCGGAAGAGGGTAACGCCCGGCGTGTACACCATCGCGTGCGTGTAGTACCCGCCCTTGTCGTCGTGGTCGTGCAGGGCGTAGAAAGGCTGCGCTGTGTCGGACTGGAGGGAGGCGAAGAGGGTAGAGGAGCGGGCGAGCGACTCTTCCTGTGCTTGGGCGCCGTTCAGGAACCCACCGCCGGGTTTCGTCGCCGATGCAAAGTTGAGCACACCGATCCTGCCCCTCGAGTGCACCGTCGAGAGGTATCGGGCGCCCTCGAGGGTGGATAGCTCGAGGGCAGAAACATGTGTCGGTGTTGGTGCTGTGGGTGGCTGCGGGCTCTTTCTCCAGTCGACCAGCTCACGAGCGTTGTCGGGGTAGAATCTGGTGCGTTGCTGCATCTTATCCACGTCTCTGCGTATGTCGTAGCGAGCAGTCTGCCGCAGGACATGGTCGCAAACATCGACGTAGCCATTGTTGATAGCGGCTATGGTCGTTGCAGCCACCTGCTGTAGGTGGGCTCGTCTGGGATCGGGTTGGCGATGAGGATAGCTTCGTGGTGGGTCTCGTCCGTCCATGATGAGATAAAGCAGACTCAGGATGAGGACGAGGAAGACGCTGTCGTTGTGGTTAGCGCTTGAAAGGGGAAAATAGAGCACACATACACTAAAGGCAGTGTATCTTCTGCCTCCATCCAAATAGGGTGCCTTGTTCTTTCCGCAGTGGTTTGAGGTGCTTACATGTCATGAAAGGGATCTATCTGAGGAGTTGAGACTTGTCGCGTCGCGATGTTGGCAGAGCCGTGGTTGTACATGAGGGAAAAGCGTGGACGATGCCGACAACGTCGCGTGTCGACAGGATTTCGGCAAAGGGCTTATTTCATGAAGGAATTCTACTATTACTTCTTCCCAACATTTATGGACACGATTGCATTTTTCTTCAAAATTCTATTTACATAACGAGGTTACCTGAACCTCTGAAATGTCCATGAATCAAACCACGCAGCTTCATTCCCAAGCAGCGAATGACACTTCCGCCATACTGCTCCTGCTATTCCGGACACTTATAAGCAACGTTCCAACATCCTCTACTGAACTTGGCTGACCATTGATACCAGCGGCCACGCGTTCATCGTCGCGGAACGTGAATCGATAGCGATACGGTCAGCTGTCAAGCCCGTGGCCATTGATCGCGTATTGTCGCCGACGACTCGAGGGTCGAGCCTGGGATAGGGATTGTGACGATAGGATTCTTGATGGATGCCATGTACTCAGAGTTCGAGTTGGGGGGTGGGTGCCCCCGGCCCTGGGAGAGCCAGAACAGCTTGGTGGATATGACATGCCCATAGAGGCCTTTGATCAGGGAATACAGCACAGAAGGGCAGAGGATGAGCAACGAAGCTGTTGTGACAGCTTTCATCGTGGCCTGGCGGCCCATGGCCAACGAGATCTCGAAGAGTCTGGTGTAGATTATTTCTCCTCGAAACTCCTAATGCCTCGTAGGAGGTAAAGAACGGGACTATGGAAGGGTAGGTGAACACTCACAATCTCGCTGGCATGAGCGAAGACAATGAGCAAGTCGCGACGCTTGTCCAACCCAACCAGAGGTTCTTCCACTTTGCCTGGTCTCTCTGCAATGTTGAGTTTATAATCACGCAGTTTGATGAGAGGATACCAGAGAAACGCGGGTTCGAATTATCTGCTCGAGGGAGGAGGATCAGGTTGGCCAGACACCTTTTCTTGTTTGCGCTTCTCCCGTCTTGACTTTTTTGCTAAGGAGATCTGTAGGCATTTCGAGAGAATATAAACGGATGAGGATGGCATATCATCTTCGAGCTGAAATAGCAAACATGAGAATCTCTGGTAAGAGAACGAAGAGGAATGGTGGGAAAGAAATGCCTGCCAAGGTGCACATACAAAGCATCAGCGTCCGATCACACGCAATGATAGGGGTCTTGGAGTGTACCAGCGCTTAGCGTTGCTTTCGAATAACCGATGCCTGCACATCTAATAATATGCTAATGTATCAATTTATCATCTAGACACATATACAGTCTGAAGGATTATCACGGCCGCCGTTAGAACGTTTTACATTCCCGCTGTCCGAAGATGAGGAGAATTAACGTGCCCTTTTCACGAATTTATTAATCCGACTGAAGAAATATTGGTGGAATAGATACCTACTTGAAACTTCAATGTTGCGGAAGCAGAAGGATTTCTTGTGGCGCGAGACAATTGTTAGGCGAGGGACAGGTAGTTTATAGGCACCCTTACTGTCCAGTACTTCCGGAAACGTTCCGAGAAACTCGGTCAGACCAGGCGGCAGGCGGCGCGTATGAAAATGCATATGCGGGGTGGCCATCTTGGTATGTGTTGATAGCCAAATCCTCGTCGCCCTTCCCAACGCTGGTGACATACGAAATCTAGAGAGGATTTCATCTTATTGATCAATTCGGTGTAAAAAGAAAGTAGCAAGCTTTGCGCACGTAATCAAGGTGCAGGAAACTATTAGCATCGTTGAACATTCTCAAGTCATGAAAGCCAAGATTAAATTCTCCCCTAAACATGGTCTGATTGAATAGAGACGTGTCCGAGTTTCCATTCGCAGTCGGAAATCTTTGTCCGTTGACTTCAACGTGGTATGGCCCATGCCCTATCCTCTTGGCTCCAAAGATGCTGATAGGGCTCCCGTAGAACCGAAAGGCCATGGAAGAGTATCTATGACACCATGAAGCTGCTCTGGGTGTACCTGTTCCAACGAGTCAGACCCGAATAATTGCAAGAACAGCAAGGGGGAACGTACAAGTCAACAAAATCGTCATCTCTCGATGTTCCCGCTCTTCACTGGCTAGGTGAATATACGAGAACTGGCGATGTATCTTCTATCATGATCCGGAATTGGGGGCATACTTAATCAGGGGATGTAGAGGGAAAATGTCATAGATTTAAGGTGGGCCCACTCGGTGGGATGTGCCGTACAGAATAAAAGACACCATCACGTTTGGAGAATCGCCTTGCCCTATGTCAACAGACGGTTGGTAGATCCCTAAGCTATAGATACTCAAGGCAGAGCTGGGTTCAATCAATCGGTGTAATGGTTCAAGATCTTTTGATGTGCTCCACAGTCGG